TATTTCTATAATCGATTAATCTATTTTTTGGGGTCACAAATCGAGAGCATTTGTGAAGTTTTTGTCTTCCGGCTTCTGCTTCAAAAACACACTTTCAAGAGAATGTTATTTTTCTCCATTTTAAATTTAAGCCCAGAGATTTTGCTTGTGTGCTGGAACCCAAAATATCATTACTGGATCATATCGATCACAGTATAAATACCTGCAAATATCTCTGTTCAGATCTAGAGGTTTTCAGGAGGACAGTAAATGTGATATCAAGCCAAGGCTTAAAAGGCCTGTTATTAAACCTTATTAACATTTTCCTGCTTTTTATTTTTACTTCATTCATGGCCCAGAGCCTTTCTGACAAATACACAAAAACCAGATGGAAGATGAGAAAAATAAAAACAGAAACTCACAGCACCGTTGCTCTTCTCAAAGATCTCGTGAGCGAGAAGTTTCAGAGGACCACAGTAGACCCCAGACTTAGCAGCCAGGTAGCGCTGGATGGCATGGTAAGTCTTCCCACTGTTGGTGGGTCCAGCGTGAAAGACCACCTTCCTCTGGATGGCTCGGGCCTCAGGGTACCTGATACAGACACACAACATTTAGCTCAATTTATAAGTTCAGTTTTAATGGGAAGGAGCAATCTATGGTTGAGGTTCTTGCATAGTGAGCTGGATTGCCAGGCTGTTGGATATTTGCAGCCTTTTTTAGAATGCAAGAGCTCCGCTCTACCAAACAGGCCATCACTCCTTCACACGTTCTGGAGAACCATCGGCACATCTAACTGCCATCTGATGAGTCTTGAATGAAATGTTTACCAGTTTGCAGGGACTCTGAGGTCAGAGATCTTTCTTAGGTCATCCATGCAGTCCAGCATGGGAAATATTTGTTTGGCATGACGCATGAAATATGGGTAGATGTCATCAATATGACCTGAAAAGAAAAATAGACAATGCAATAAATGGAAACTTTCTTTAACTGAATAAACTAACGTGGTGGTGTACCTGCATTGCAGCAGATGTCATTGAGAATGATGTGCAAGTCAGCAGGGAGAGACGTCATTTCCAGAACATATTTCCTGAAACTGATGAAGGCTTGGTGGAAGAGACGAGCTGTTTGTCCACAAAAAAAAACAAAACAAAAAAACACAATCACAGAAATATCTGCAGAGATCACAACAGTCATTTGGCTTGAAATAAATAAGAAGAAATAATTCCCCAACAAAAAATATATAGAATATAAAATAGAATACTTTCATATATGCATGAATGAAGCTGTTGCAGAACTTTAGAGCTCCTTCAGTGACAGACTGCTGCACCCTAAATGCACCAGGGAGCGTTATCATAGATCCTTCCCCTCAGCTGCTGTAAGACTTTATAACCATCACTGTTCCCAACAACCTCAACAATGTGTTACATTCATGCTGATTTTGCACAATTTCTATCTTAGTTAGTTAAATAACATTCTGTTGTCATTTTGCACATCTCTGTGGTTGCTATTTTTCAAATATCCATTACTGTAAAAATGTCAATAGCTGGATATTGGTTATTTATTCTCAAGGTGCACAGTTTGTATATTGTTAAAGCACTTTACAGTACAGTATTTTATTGTTTATACTTTAAATCTTCACTATTGTGTTATTCTTATACATTTTTCTAGGGTCCACATTTGTGTGACCGTTTCTTTTTTTTTGTTTTTGCTGCTTTAAACACCAGAATTTCTCCATTGTGGGACAATAAAGGGATTTTCTATTCTATTCTATATTGCACAGTTCTATTTAAATACTTCATTTCTCTCAGGTCAAAAAGGAACAAGTGGTTTTGCCTCATCACAAACACAGATCTTTTTTCATTTAGATGTTGGAGATCGGCCTGTTTTTCCAGTGTAGTCCTGTTTCTCTGACTGTGACTGGCTGGATGTGCTCTCTTCATCCTCTAACATGGGAGCTGGCTCAGTGCTCAACTGCCTGGCTGTGTGTTTCCTGGTCGGGCCGCTGCTTTTTGTGTCTCTGCTTCTGTCTCCTTGAACCCCAGTCAGCCTTGGCAGATGGCCGCTCACACTGAGCCTGGTTCTGCTGGAGGTTTCTTCCTGTTAAAAGGGAGTTTTTCCTCTCCACTGTTGCTACAAGCATGCTTAGTGTGAGGGTATGCATCAGAGTCAATGCAATCAACTGGTTTTCCTTAGATAGAAAACTTTGACTGTATGATCTGGGGAACTGTAAAGCTCCTTGAAATGACGTGTTGTGAACGGGCGCTATAGAATTAAACTGAATTGAATTTAATTAAAGTTAAAGATCAATCAAATATAGTGCACAGTTTGTCAACTACTGCATTGCCCCATTAAACAGGGAACCCCCTTTGTTCAAATTTAAAATCAACTAATTCATAGAGTCCATCTGGGTGCATTTAAATATCAATAGAGGGGTCAGGTGGTATTGAAGAACATCAGTAAACAAACATCATTATGACCAGAAACTCAAGAGGGAAAAGTTATGAAATTTAAAGCAGGTCCAGCTAAAGAGTTATACCAGCTTTGAAGGCTTGTGCAAGGCTTAAAAAATTATTTAAAAATTCCGTAAATTAGGGTTTATATTCTCACCATCCAGACCCTGGTCTGCGGCCAATTTCTGCATCTCTTTTCTTTTGTAAAACTTGTTCAAGACTTTGAGCAGCTCATCTAAATAGCACAGATAGAAAAAGAAGACATAAGTCAATTCGGTTAATCTATATAAATAAGCGTGACCTTACTAGGCTAACTCCATCGAGTCTCTATCAGGATCTGACCTTAATAAATGCACAAAACTAGTATAAACTCTGGTTTACTTTTGTCCAGAGGCTGCGTCAGCTCTGCTCCCACAGCCCCATCAGCCGGGACGTCGGTCTTCAGGGAGACTGGAACAAACAGCGAGGTGTCTGGCCCCTTGCTGTTAGAAGAGACATATCTACAGCAAACCGAAAAAGCAGGATGAGGGTGCTGGAGCACCAACCTAGAGCCAGAAACCACTCTGCAGCCGCCTGTGGTGATGTGACCAGTCCGGGTGTTAAAGTGGCGTTGAAGCCAAGAAAAGAAGTGTAAGGTCCGGTTAGCTGACATCATTGCGGGCGGGATATGTAACCGACAACCGGTGGGTGCTGTACGCTACTTCTAAGCTGCTGTTACCGCTCCATAATGTTCAAATTATCTAAAAAGTTGGCTCACACGCCACAAACTCTAGCAAAGGACATTCTACACATTTCTGGTTTCACAAACGTGGGATAGGACCACTCTGTCTACAAATATGCCTGAACAAAAATGTAAAAAACAACAACATTATTTTATATTTTGAGGGAAATAATTTATAAGGTTATTTTATATTTACTGTTGTGTATTCAGTAATTATATTTTATTCAAGACTAACATGGTTGCGTAGTAGATAGGAATTAGACATGTAAGGCATATTTAAGGAAACATCTGAGCTCGAACTCAAAGATCGTTTATTAAACTAAGAAGCAGGCTGGATAGCTTTGATAAAAAACAAAACAATCTTGAGCGAAGTTTTACGTAATCTTTCAAATGGTTCATTATCGATTTTAACCAATTATTTTAGAGCCTAATTATTTTTTATTACAAAAAAAAACATTTTAAATAGACTGTTTTGACACTATCTTTATGAATGCCATACCCAACGATATTTTAAGATCAATATAAAAAAATATGATCATTTATTAAATATATAAAATGTATTTAAATAATTCCTCGCTATTTTCAGTTTTAGTTCAGTTCAAACGGGCCAAATTTCTTGTCCAGGAGCAACAAATACTTTCAGTAATAAAGTATTAATATATTAAAAATTTAATATTTTTTGTAATTATTTACAAATTAAATGTGGTGTTTGCTAGATATTATTTTTTTTACAAGTTACACTTTTTTAAGGCTATAAGGAAAAAAAATCTTAAAAAGTCTGGATAATCGATAAAAGGTACTTTAGTTTAATTTGAAATGTATAAAAAAAAATCTAGAGTAGGTTTTCTACATTACCATACTCTAAGGGGGAAAAAAAAAAGCTTACTTTAAATTTAATAAATAATGCTGTGAAATCCTTTAAAAATAGTCTTTAAGCTCCAAAAACAGACAAAATAAAAAATTTCAAACTAAATTCAATATAAATCTGCTTTATTCGTGATTAATTTAGGCTATATATTCGGGGTTTGGTGTATGGAATATAAACACATTATCTCATACACAGTCACACGATGGCATGAGTGGACAAACATGCAGAAAACAAAGAGACAGAGGCTATAGGCTTTGAAGTTTTTTTCACAACTTCTAACCAATGAAGAAGAAAAAAAACATTTAATCCAAAAGATTAAGCAAAATAAAAGATTTGTTTTTCAATAAATTACACCCCTTCTAAACATTATAGATGCAAATTACAGGATCAAAACCAGAATAAAAGGACAGAGGAAACCTGAACTGTTGATCTGTCTGTTCATACACTATAAGAAAAAATAAAAATGTAACAGCAAAATGCAGCCACTGTCCAAACATGAAAGAGGCAAAATAAATAAAAATATAAAGCTGAATTAAAGTGTGTAGTGAAAAGAAAAAGACTCAGAAAAACTGAGGTCAAGTTGCTCCTTGAGTGATGATAACTTTCAGGAAATATTCACCTTCAACACTAAGCACAGCACTGTAGAGCAAAGTGCAAGCTGTCCTCAGATCAGAGCTAGAGGCAGAAAAAAATAAATCACATGGGACTGGTAACAGTGTCATTAAAGCAAGACCTAAACCTCAGGTCTGAGCATCACAGTGGAACATAGTTGCATTTACAGTTATGTGAAAAGTACATCCCTTCCTGTTTTAACAACAGAAGTCAAAAACCGTTAGTTACATTATTATTCTGAATATATCGAACCAGTGGGCTCAAAAAGCTTTAACCCCTGAAGACTAACATGATCAGTAAATATACAGGCTGAAGGTTCGGACTGGCAGCTGTACAGCAACACTGGAAAATTTGAGTCTAAAATCAGCTGCAACCTTCTATCTTTGAGCTACTGAAAGGAAACTGTTTCACACAGAGACTGGTCAGCTGGCAGAAAACAAATTAAATGCAATAGACAAATTCACATTATGATTCTCTAATGGTTCACTCTAATTAAATTAATTTGAATTTCAGCAGCGAAACCCTGAAAATGCTTCTCATTTTTACAATACGATTTTTGCATACATACAGTATTTCAGACACAGACAGCACTGACAAGGATCTAACACAAAGTGGCGCCCAGACGTTAACATGTCATAACCATGAATATAGATTCTGTTGACATTACAGATAATTTTAATGACATGTAATCCGTCCATCTAAGCAGAAAGAAATGTTTCTCTGTTATGTAAAAGAAAAAAAAAACTAACCTGCAGATTTAACCTAAATAAATCACCTTAAGATAAATCATTAAATCAAGTACTTTGGGGGAATTTATTCGGTTGTGTACAGCAACCAGAGGTGGAACTGGATTTTCCTCAGTCAGAACTATATTGTGGGTTTTTATATTGTTGTGAACACTTATTGCACTAGATTCCCCAATTAAAGCAGAATGCTGCTGATAGGTCTTTAAACTGCTGCAAAGTCGTTTACAGTTATAAAACAGCGTTGAAATCCTTGATGCTCCAGCTCAGTCAGGTAGTGTACATAAATGCAGGACATAGGTGTTGCCCCCATAGCGTCGTCTCTTCTGGTCTTTGAAGCCTTTCGTTTTAGGAGTAGTTCATGCAGCTCTAAGTAGTGGTTTGTTGGTTTTATGTAAAGTGTGAGAGATAAAGTCCAGGATGAGAGATGATTTGAAAAGAGAAACTCTCAATTCAGAGGGGAGAAGTGCTGCTCTTCCGTTTTCTTCCTGAACAGTTTGCATGGCTAGCAGACTGGGACCGTATGGCTTTATGCATGTGTGCTTGTCTGGAGGAGCTACAACTAACTTGGGCATCTCATTGTTTTTTTAGGCTGATTTTCATTTTAGCTTTGACATTCAGGTTTAAGCAGACGTGTTGTTGCAGTCGTATGCATCTGTGTTTCAGTTCTGGGTGAGAGTAGTGGCAGCTCCCATTGGAAGCTGTGAAATGGTGAGCAGGTGTGCAGGGGATGTCTAAAGATAACTTCTGTGTATTTGTGTTTTACAGACATCTGTCAGTCCATGGAGAGAGCAGCTTCAGCCCTCAAACCTCTGGCTGTTTTGCAGAAAGAAGCTGTGATGTGTTTGCCTTCAGATCTTCTGGGTATGACCCTCACATCTCCGGCTGCTCTGCAGAGACCGGCTGGCTTCTGGGCTCGGGCGACTCGTAGCGCAGGTGGAAGTTTCTTTTTCTCAGCTTCTCTGGAGCTTTTCTCCACAAAACAATTTCCTAAACACAAAAGTAGATGGCAGCACAAATTGTACAATAAACAGGGTTTAAAGTGATACTCAAAGTGAACGAAGCAGAGAAGTACAACTGGAAAGTCCAAAGAAAACTTTTCTGAAGGATATTAAAACAAATTCAACAGAGGAGTCGGGTTTATGCTGTAGCGGGGATCTGGCAAAACCTTGCTGCCACTCTTATTAGGAAATAACAGATCACAACTTAGATGCTTTACTAGTTAAAGTCAATTAAATTAGATGCACTGGTAATGATTTCTGAGATTAAAAGCTCTAAAGTTTCCTTCACCAGAAATATGTCTCACCATAGAAATGAGACAATTCAGCAGGTCTTAAAACTGAAAGTTTTTTAAAAGGACATATATCATCACCCTTCAAAGCACCTTAAAGAAATTTAAATCATCTTTTCATTTGGTTTTGAGTAGCAAAATGGAAAAAAATTAATTTATCTGATCGAAAAAGGGCCTTTTGAAACCCATTCTCTAAAACAGAAAGCTCCTATCGTATCTGGATACAATATTGCATCCTAAACTGTACTGCGAGTACAAATAGATTATATAGTTTAGATATTAGTTAAATAGATTGAATAATAAAACAATGGTGACAGTTCTTGAAAACTAATGAACAACGGTAAATAATCCCTGAAGAGTTCGGAAGATGTATGTGAATTACCTGCTGTTTAAAGTATCTCCTGTCCTCCTCATCCACCAGCACCAGATTTAGAAAGTAGCGAACGGAGAACTTCTTATTAACATCCCTCATGGTGGGTGTCAGATCATATCCTTTAGCAAAGCAGAGGCAGCATTACAAAGCATTACAAAGGCTGAGCAATTAATTGCATTTGCAATATAATCTCAATTTAACATAATGCAACTTTCAAATCGTTGACGCTCTCAGCTTTGGTGGCATTACATTTAATATAAGACACCGACTTTTTCACTCCAGCTTTTTAGGTGTTGGTAATACGCTTACAGTGGGTCTGCACAGATGGGAAGAGAGAGCTACAGCCAGCATGCATGCAAGTATAACATTGAAGCCCTTCGTGGCAAACATTCCAAAAATGGGATTTTAGGTTGCACCATGGCAGTTAAGATAGATCACTACATCAGTTAGGAAGATTGAAGGACTTACCTGCCAGGAAAAGTCTGATTGGAATTGATTCTCCTTTAACTGGAGCACCGTCCATGATCTCATACTTTGCAACCGTTTCTGTCTCTGTGGTAGTGCTGGGACCTAAAAGGGGCAAAAACAAGTTAATAAACTAAGGTCAATAAACCTCTAAAGACTCTTATTTTACATAAAAAAACAACAGCAAATTAAAGACGATAAACAGGGGGTCTTGATAAAGTTAATTCTTGTGATTGATTGACTTTATGGATCTGACAGTGGAGAAATGCACTCGTTACATCAGCTCAAATAGTCCATTTCATTGTTTACATGCAGATGCTTTGGACTCATACCGATGCCTGTGACCTCCTTCTTGATGAGCTGCAGCTCCATGTGCTGGATCTTGATCCTGACCAGGAGGAAATAAATCTTCCCGACTATCACGTCCTTCAGGTGATATCTGGCAGTCACAACAAAAAAACCTCCTCAAACTGATTGAAAACCAAAACAAATTTCATCATAGAGTGTAACCAATCCAGATCTTACTTGGATTTATTGTATTCAAACTCGATGTGCAGACAATCCTCAATGCCGACCTCCATCTTAATGGAGTTGTTTACGTCTGGATAAGTGGCCAGCTGGTGAACAATTAACTCATATTCTTTCACTAAATCAGACAAAGGGCGAACAATTGTCACCCGGAGGAAATACCTGTGAGAAAAACAAGTTATTGTTAAAGGCAAACTGTTTTTCTGTTAAGTGCTAACAGCAGATTGCTCTAAATCTTAGCTCAATTGAATATTGGGACTTTATAATAACAGATTGCTGATATAAGGTTAAAATTATATCTTAATACTTAGTTGTATTTCAAATAATACTACTAAAAGAAATGAAACATAAGAAAATATGAAACATTCTTCACACTGTTTGGTTTATGCCTACAAGCAGAACTTGTTACTCACCATAACCACTGTTACCCCCAATGATGACGACAATAAAGATCTGTTATTTCCATTTGTATCAATGCTTTATCAAAAATCTGCTTCCCATAACAAAAACTTTTTCCTAAACACTGTGACTAAGCCCAAATTATTATATTCATCACATTTCTTTACTTTCAGCAGAACAAACCCAGTCAGTATTTACTGACTCCCCCACCCCCTGTTAGAGCAGCACAGCAAGATAAGCTTGCAGCAGATAATGTTTAGAGATAAACTCTGCGACCAGCAGGCCAGATGTTTGTATTTCTGGAATATAACAGGCGCACAGAAGCAACAAACCAACCAGATTGAGTCCAGCTGTTACTGTTGTACCTGAGTCTGACGTTTGCTCCGGTGTACGACTCATAGGGCTTTTCCACCTGCATGAACTCAAAGTCGTAGCTTCGGTTCTGGGTTAGTTCTCCAGGCAAAGCCAGCTCTTTTACCAAGTCCACAAACTCATGGGTACTGCTCTTATCAGAGAACAGCTCTAAAATAAATGACAAAATAACATTAAAGAAATTAGCATCACTGTTTTTTTTTTTTTTTATCTTGAATGTAGTTGGCTTCTGCTTTGACTTTACTGTTCTTAACATCCCCTGCTAACTCATCAGCTGAACTTCTGTGGAACAAACAGAAATAGATCAAATTTGATTTCTATTCCCTTGTCCGATAAAAATAATTGATCAAAGGTAAAACTGACAATAAAAAGAGTATTTCCAGTCAAAATGACAAGAAGCAGTTATGACCAGCCCCTCCCTCCTTCTTTTAGGAAATGTTGAAAATAAAAGCTGGAAAAAAAGTCCAGAATAGAACTATGATACAATAGAGAGACTATGTGTTATTTTCCAGGCTCTTTCAGTCCAAGCAATTACAATTATTCCTCTGGTTGGGGGCAAGATTCCTGCACACGACAACCACATGTTTAATCAAACTTTGGTCAATGCGTTGTCATGTGAATAAACCTACAGAGAAAGGAATGTGGCCAGTTAAAACAGGCGCTGTGTACCGGCTGCACACATATATTGTACTTTTCCTGCTTAACAGAACACTGCCATGGATCACTGCATATAGACAGAAAGTTTGCCATCCTGTCTTTTTAACCCTGTAAATCATTTTGAACCACAAGAAACAGAATTCACCTCCAGCCTTTTTTTTTTTTTGGAGATTATGAAAAAAACAACAACATAAAACTGAACATAAGTTCAGTTTTACATCTTATGGTCGCAACAGAAACAAATCCAGCCGTGTTTGGTCTCTTTCAGCTTATATCCATGCAGAGAACATAAGCCAGTTAGAAAAAAATCGGTCTACCATTTGTTAGATTCTCAAAGGCACAAAAAATGCAGTGTAACTTTCAATCTTAAGGGAAAAAAAAAAAAACCTGACAATTTTTTTCATGTAATCATTTGTTTTCAAAGCACAGGGAAGCTTTTGATGCTTATTTATGGCAAAGTAGGAAGAATTTAGGGCTGGATGATACAGCTTAAAAATCTAATCTCCAATTTTTTTCTTACCAAATCTGATGAATTTTTTTTCCACCTAAGTTTCATAATAAAAATGACAAAGGGTAACTGTTGCTTCATTCTTTCTGGAAGGTGACTTTAGTTTAATAGGCAACAAATAATCATGTTTCAAAACAAACAAAAATGTGACTTACTTAAGGTCTGCAGTTATTTGTATGACACAGCAAGATAGTTTTATCCATAATAAGAACACTTTATCGAAGAATAAAAGGTGATCAACTGAAGTCTCTGAGCTATGCAAGCCCAATGAGTGGATTTTTAGAGGAAAAAAGTATATATATTTTTTTTAATTCTCCAAAAAAGAAATATTCTTAAAAAGAAAATGTGATTAAACAGTTTCATCGATTAATCGTGCAGCCTGAGAAGAAGGTAAAACAGAGTTGAAACCCATTGAGCATGAAGAATGTGTAAAGATTTCCACAAACGTCCCACCCGTCCATATTCAACCTATAAAAAGATACATCTACACACCTGAAACCATTTTGCAGCCACAAAATCCTGGTCATGGGAATATACTTTTGGATATTCGAATGAAAGGAGACAAGACAAATGGATGTGCAACACGGAGTAGCTAGAGCCACTGTTTTCTGAATTTGCCTTCCCATTTACATTTTCTCATTTAAGAAGTGTCTTTTTTATATTTTGATATCATAATATAATTTCTTCAAGTTGAGTCATTCCATGGAGCCTTCATGAATGTCTCCCTATTACAAAAATCAAAATGATGACCTTTTTTCTCCAAGCTATCCACTGAGGTCAGCAAACAGTCCTTCTACAAAAACGCATGGATATAATCAGATACAAACTGGTAAAACATCCTGATTTTTGCAGCTGTTGTTCTGTTAGTTGACATGTAAATGGCCCTGAGCAAATATCACTGTATAACTGTGTTGTTTAGGTCCTGCCAACTACAGCTTGCCCAGCCTACATTTTCAGAATAAAAACTCTGCAGGAAAAAAAAAAAGAAAAAAAAAAAAACTATTTTGCCTGTGTATCTGAGGCCACAGCTTTTTAGCAGGTCTACTTTTAGGAAATCTCAATGTAGAGGTAGAAACTAGGGCATGTGTTCTCTACAAAGAGCCCAGAACCTAATATGTCCCCCAAAGGGCTCCAAAACAGCATGGATTTTAATAAGGACGGGTGTTAGGCATTTTTAGAGAAAATAATTCAAGATATGCGAGTTGTAAGTCTCTATAAACATTACAGCTGAACCAGAACACAGTAAATCAACAACACAATGTGAGTTATATGTTCTGCCCCAATAGGCTCACCTATCTGTCCAACAAACTCAATGCGGATGCCTTGATGCTCCAACCGTTTCCCTCCCTGCTTCACATTTAGATTCACCTGTAGAAAAAAATTGTAAGAATCAATTAATCTTATATATATATATATATATATATATATATATATATATATATATATATATTTTTTTTTTTTTTTTTTTACAAATAAAAGTGGCAGCAATTAATGTCATATCTTAAAATGGCCTAGTATTTTTTTTAACCTATATATACATATTTTAAAACCCTAAAACAGCTCTGACATTTGCTGTGTATCCGTGCTATTTCCATCTCTTTTTAGCTGAACATTTTTGGCTCTGTCATTACAGTTCATAATCCCCTTTTATCATTTTGTCACTTTCCAGATTAACTTGCTGTGTATCTGACCGTGCTTCAATCTCTACCTACATGGGGAAATTAAACAAATCACAACAAACTATTTGAAGTACATCTCCATGTTTCACTCATAATGGAGTGCAGGAAAACCTTATTGTCTGACACTAATAAATCATTTTAAAATGTTAGGAAATTATTTTAGTTTCATCAGGAGTCACTTTCAGGCATATCTTTCAGGATTCAGAAGCTCCAGATGGTAACCAGAAATTATTTTAATGACCATTTCATGTTTATAATTCCTAAAAAAACATGAATACATACATGGGTTCATTAAATGGGTTTTTCATAAAGAAGGATACGTATGTTTACCTTTCCAGCTACCGACTCTCCATCATAGAACAGATAGTGTTTCTCCACTTTTCCATCTTCTGTCTTCAGCTCTGCAGTTTTTCTGTTTTCTGCATCATTCAGCACCACGTCTATCTCACATACAGGCCCAAACAATCCTCTCAGAAAACTCTTGAATCAGATAAAACACAGTAAATGTTTATCACACAATTCGACGACCACAATAATTATGAGGCATATGCAGCAGATATATTAAAATAAACACATGTAATATTTTAATTACAAATATGGACTGCTAAATGCTTCTTTCCACCATTTGTTGGGGAAGCATCTTTGCAATCCAAATAGAGTTTGTTTACATACTTTAACACCATGAGAAGTGGGAATAATTCCCACTGTCTCTTGCATTTCTCTCTTATGTCTCTCTCAAACTCCTAAAACTGTAAAGCCAGACTTAAAGACAATGACTGCCTCCGATATTGCCACAACAACCCCAAAGATCAGCAGCTGAATTAACACTTGCTAAGGCATGCAGAAGCTAAACATCTGGAAGCATAAGCTCAGGCATTAGGATGTCAGGAGAAATACAATCTCAGTCAGCTACACAGGAGGAATAAAAAAAGAAACACTTTCTACTGCAGCAGCTAGAAAAAAACAACAGCACAGAAAAATGTGTTCATGATCGTTAAGGAGGACAAAGATGATTGATCTCTTGTAGGAAACGTAAAGGACTAATGCAGTTAGGGTGCATGTGACATTTCAACTTCACATTCCAGAGTGCTAATCAGAGCAACATTTGCTCAAACTAAGTTACTGCACCAACACACCGATTATAGGCACATTAATAAAGCTGCTGCTTTAAAATTTGGTTGACAGTACAGCTTTAAAAGCTGAGTATTTGTTAGACAGCTTTAAACATGCGTGGAAAATGACTTAATTCCGATGCTAATTAGCCAAAAACCCGAAAAAGCTTCTCTCTGTCAAAGTTACATTTCTCATGTCACATTCACTGCAAAGCCTCTTGTGCGCTAGATTTATTGGCGTTAGTTTGAATTTAAAAAGCAGTCCCTGCCGTGTTTTCCAAAGACTGAAGCTTTGGTTTTAGACTCACCATCTTTGCCAGTTGAAGCTAACAGCTAGCCTCCCTCTGTTTGGCCTGACGGGCTGCAAGGAGCGTAGTAGCAGGTTTCTTCTTCTTCTTATGAGATTTTATGGCGGTTGGCAAACTTGTGAAATGTGCATTACCGCCACCAACTGATATGGAGTAAAGCAAGGAAACAGGAAACGATTCACCCCCCCCAAAAAAAAAAAAAAAAAAAAAAAAAATACAATAAAATAACCTGTGTAACTTAAACCCACATAATACTAAATTATACTAAATTACATTTGCCCGTATAATTTTAATTTACTCTAGGTCATCGTACCTCTGCCAGTTTCTGATGGTCCCATTGGTCTTTCCATCATGCTTCCAACCATCTCCCAGTTCATATCTTTAACATCCAGATATTTTTCTGCAGCCTTCACTATTATTTTGATTTTTTCTGTTTTTTTTGTCGTCTGAGCAGTACAATTAATCACTTCCACCATGAAAAGAACAAAATTTGTCTTTTTAACAATTAGTGAGTCTTCATCAATTTTTGGAGATTTCTCTAGAGGTTTGAAATTTGCCGTGTGTTGAACTGTAGGTTTGGGTTTTTCTGACTGAGATGGGATCCTTTTTGCAGCTTCAGCATAAGTTATTCCAAGCTCAAATTTCATTTTTTTTATTTCTTCAGACCTTTTGCTTGCTTCACAGCCGCGATAAGCAGCAGTATGTTCTCCACCACAATTACAGCATTTTATTTTAGCTTCTTTTCCACATTTACCATATTCATGTTCTCCTGCACACCTTCCACACCTCTGTTTCCCTTTACAAACTGCTGCAATGTGTCCGAATTTTTGACATTTGAAACATCTCAATGGTGGTGGATTGTAGATTTTGACATTGTAACTGATGTAACCGATGAATACTTTGCTTGGTAATTGCTCTTCCTCGAATTTAATTAGTACAGATAAACTGTCAGATCTTTCTCCGTTTCTTGTTGTTTTTAACCGTTTTACTTCTTTTACTTTTGCACCGCTTATGTTTTCCAGAATCTCTTTTTCAGAAATTTTCAGAGGAACTCCTCCAATGACTCCCCTGCTGATCTTTTTGTTCTCCATTAGGCTGCACTGAACTCTTATCCCGTCAATTTTGTTAATACGTATTGCTTTGCCTTGCTGGGCGCTGTCTCTGCAGTTAATTAGCAGGTCTCCACTGTACAGAATTCTGGCACCTCTGACTTCTCCAACAAGTTTATTGATGGTTTTTGTTAAGTGAACCGGATTCCAGTTTGTAAAAGAGTCTGCCTGATTAACGACTTTGAATATGACTTTGAATTCATTTTGTTGTGCTGTGGAATGTATGGATTGATCATCACTGGATTGTTCTGAACTAGATTCCCCTTTAACTGATCTCTGTTTTTTCCGCTTTTTCTCATTTTTTGATGCTGCTATCTTCCAACCTTCATTGTCACTATTTCCCTCTTCCATCCCACAAGAATCGCTTCCTGTTTCCTCACTACTCACGGCCCAGGACATTTCTCCACAAGCAGAGCAGCTTCAAAACACGCGCCATGCACCAAACGACCAACGTTCCCAAGTAGCAGGTTTCCCGTCACGTGACCAAAGTAGACTGATTGTGGGCGGAGTCCGAGAAAAAAAAAAAAAAGAAGAAGAAAATAATTTAAAGTTAAATAAAACAAAGGTGTGTTTTGAACTACAGAAGTGTATTGCATTCACCTAGATATAAAAAATTAATAAAACACTAAATTTACGACATAAAACCATCTATTTTCTGTCACTCATTATTCCAGCTGGGGATGCAAGGTGCTGGTGCCTATCTCCATCTGTCTAAGGCAACCCTGAACAGGTTTCCAGTCCTACGCAGGGCAACACAGAGACACACGGGACAAACAACCATTCACTCACACCTAAGGAGAATATAGAGAAGCCAATTAACCTTACGGTCTTAACAGGTTTTTGGACTTTAGAAGGAAGCTGGAATACCCAGAGAGAGCCCATGAATGCTCAGGGAGAACATGCAAGCATGCTTCAATCCAGCCTGCTACACCACTGAGCAGTCCATGACATAAATCAAAACATATAAATGTATAAAATTGTTATATTTTTCTGAGCTAAAGCGATAGCTTTTTATAAGAGTAATATATGATATGTAATAATATATATGATAATATAAAATAGGACATCCTATGCAAAACATTACCTATTGACACTCATGCAATATTCCACTCTCTCACTGTGCAATAACACATGCTAACTACTGTGTAGCCTCTGTAGTATTTTACTTATTTTATAAGGTCAGTACATCTCTGCAGTACAAGTGCAATAATCCAAGTCAAGTACAAGTAGTCTGTAATATTTCAACTTATTTATAAGGTCGGTACATTTCTGCAGTACAAGTGCAATAACCCAAGTCAACTACTAAATTGCGTAATGACACCCCAATAGGCCCGTAAGCAACATTATTTGGCCGGGCCCCATATGAAGTACAACATGTGATAAAGGTTCAGGATACGGAGACAGTTCCATAAATTGGCCAAGAAGAAACAATTATGAAATTCTCAGTAGTCTATGATCACACATTACACACGAAAAACTAGTGACTGCGGGCCTTAAATGGAACCACTGGTGACAGCGCACCACCACATGTTACAGACATCCCAAGGTCCAAAAACTAATTTTAGGGGGATGCTTATCCAATGTGTTTGGTATAAATACGGTCCAGTGCTTTCAATAATATCAGCATCAGGTGGGTTTAAGAAGAATTTTTTTGCACCATTACATCTACAAAGAGACGTTCTAATCTACAATTGCGTAAGTGACTCACCAGGTATCGGTGATGGGGCCCCTAATGGGTTGTGGGCCCCTAAGCAGTTGCTTTTTCTACGTACCGATATTTACGCCATTGCAACTACTATATAGTCTTCCCTTAGCTCTCTACTGTGCAGATATATTTTTTTTATATCTAAGGGAAACATATTCTTGAACCTTCTTTTTGTATTATATAAACTCTTTTTATATTTTCTGTTGTATTTTTATCTTTTAGGGTATCTTGCTTTAACTCTTTGTACACTATATAAGCTACTGGAAGCAGTATCTCCCTGAAGGAGTAATCCCAAAGGATAAATAGTTGATTCTAAGTGTAAGTCTATTAGATTTTTTTAATGAAACATAAATAGCAAATGTTTGTGGAATCACAAGCACTGCAAGAATTAAGCTTGCAAAGTTATTAGTTGATTAAAAAGCTACTAGGGTGTCTTTCTTCTGCTTTCTGAATCTGGTGTCCCTCTGCCCATAACCACCATGGTAATACGTAGGTAGAATCAACATGGTGGTCAGTGGGAAACAATTTACAAAATCTGACTACTAAGGACTATTGATTTTATTTTTTATCTTATAAAAAATGTGCTGGGGTTATCTAATGCTTGGTGATAGGATGTTGAAACTATGCAGTTGGTTTGGCAGATAGTTTTCACTACATCCCAAAAATCAGAATATAGGAAGGACCACGAATGGATGGTTTGAGTGCTGATATTTCTCCCCAGGATGGTATCACAGCCAAACAGGAACAGATGAGGAGCAATGACTTAAATATTCCAGCAGATGGCAGTAAAATGCCAACAATGCGCCTGTCTGTAGCCGTTTTTTTTCTGAAAAGAAGAAAACAAACATGGCTTCCATCAACAGCATCGAGTGGAGATCTATCTGCGACAAATTCACCAACGCCCAACATCTCACCGAAACAGAGTCCAGAAAAGACCCAGAAAACGACCCGTTCCGGTCCAAATACAAAGCCAGGGAGCTTCTAAGAGAAATCTACTGCTCCCTGAAGAGCTTCGAGGCCGGGGACGGAGAGGAGGAGGCCGGCGGAGACAACTGCGAACAGCCGCCCCCTGCTCAGCCACTGGACGGTCAGAGGGAGGATGGGTTCAGCCGGGGCCTCAGCGGAGACTCTCCTGCGGGGATGCGGGCGGCTAAGCTCGGGGCTGTGGAGTACTACCTGGGGGTTAACCACGTGGACACGGAGGAGCTGTCAGCCGGACAGGAGCATCTTATGAACTGCATGAAAATGCTGGAGAAATGCAGGGTGTCATCAGAGAACGTCTCTCTGTTCATCCATGTCAGGGTAAAACTGGTTACTCCCTCATAAATGTTTCTCCATAAGCTCTAATCTTTACACCCCCCCTGTGTGGAGCTCATCAGCTGATGCTGATCATGTGTTTCTTTGTGCTTTCAGAACCAGCTGGGTGTCCTTTGGGCTGGCCGTGATGAGACAGAGACAGCTCAGGGTTTCCTGGAGACAGCAGAGTCCATCTACCAACACTACATGAAGGAGGTGATGCTGATTCCCTCTCAGAGTGGGAAATAGTCCATTTGATCTGAGTTATCTGCAGGTCTTGATAAGCACGGGGGATGTTTATAATCCTCATCCTATTAGAGATTAAATAGCACTGATTTGGAAATATACATTGGCTCAATCAGTTGGATCCTTTTAAGTAAGAAAAGTACATTTGTGTCTCTGTGTTTACAAAATCAAAGATTTTATTCAACCAAGCTATTATTATTATTATTATTATTATGGGATAGTAGCTAGTGTTAATTACCAGTTACAGGGTAGAATCAATGTAGAAGACAAGGAAAATGTATAGCTTGTATAGCTAAATGAATCTAAACAGATCCACTCTCTGTTTGTTTAAGTTGAAAAAACGTACAATTTTCTTCCTCTTAAGTTGAGGTCCATTTCTAAGCAGAGGAGGAGCTAGATGGGGGGCCAGGGGTGGCCACAGCCATCAATGGCGTAACGACACAACAATAGGCCTGTAAGCAACATTATCTGGGTTGGCCCCATATGAAGTACAACACCCCATCCGCCCCCCTGCCCGCTTCCTCCCCCGCCACCGCCCCTGCTGCCGTAGACAACCGACAACACACTTCATCATTTCATCATTCTTCACCTTCACTAGACATGGGTATACTTTAGTATATTCTGCTGTAAAATGAGTCTTATTGGGCTACCTTGAGTTTCACAGCCCCCCTCCTCACCCACGCCCTCTACATTCGTCTCCTGGTCACAATCTTCACTCACTGTAGCAGCAACGTCCACCTCTGCCTCTTTAGTTGTTTGAAAGAACGTGTTTATTTTGGGAAGTTTTTTTCCGTTCTTCCAGCAGCTCTTCTTTGCTTTTTCTTTTTTGGAATCCGCTTAAGTACTTCATTTTGGTATCCATCGTCACTAACACATTGTTACGTTTTTAATCAACACTCTGGATTAGCCATAATTCCAAGTCGAATTGTAAAAAGAGCCTTTTTTTTTTTAAGATCTTGATTTCGGTTTGAAACATATTATGGGAGTGTTTTTTAATTTTTTTTTCACCAACCGCCTAATGAACTATCCACAGTTATTAACATAGTAATTAAAAGTACCACTGTCTGCTTTGTCGTGTATAAACGGGTCACCTTGTGTTGGGGTATTAATAAGGTCCGGTCAGTTGATTTAGTATCAGGTGGGTTTAAGATGAATTTTTCGCACGATTTTATTTGCAAAGAGATGTCCTAGTCTACAATTGTATAGGGGGCCTACCAGGTGTCAGTGACGAGGCCCCAGAGGTTGGGGGCCCCTAAGCAACTGCAGTCTCTGCTTACCGATAGTTACGCCATTGATGCCCACCCATCATTGGCCACCCCTACCATCCCCCCCCCCCCTCTAATACAGATGATGGCAGCAGTAATACTCTCAGGTAGAAAATTCATTTAAATATTTCATATATTACTTACTATATTTTCATGTATTCATAATTTCTTGACAACAAAAAACTGCGGTTAATTATACACATCAATATACTAATATTAACGATGATACATACAGAATTCATGCTTAACTTTGGCTTGACCCTGAGGTTCTGGCGCCTATCTACTTTCAGCCACCTCTCAGTGTACAAGATTGTCTCAGATGTACATGCATCAGTTATTTCCGTCTGTGGGATGCTAAGCTAACTGCCTTTTGTGCACTGAGATGCATTAAGTGAATAGAAACGAACCCATGCATATGTTTAGTCTACCTTTCACTCCCCTCTGCACAGGCTCCTCCGTCTCCCTCTTCTGTTAAGTTCAGGAGCTATAGACTCTGATTCTGCTAAAATTTCAGAAAAATCATCAGACGATAGACTTTACCCACTTCCAAGCGGTTTTGGTTGTTGGTTTAAATTCAAACCCTCCTCAACGCCTATGATTGTTGTTTTCCTTATTTTACTCAGGATGGGAGGCCTCCGACTGACATGACAGAGTATTTCAGCACAGAAGAGAACCTTCTGACACACCAGGAAAGAACGAAGAGGTAGTTTCTCTTATAGTCCGTTACAAATTTCAAAACAAATCATCTTTGGAAAAGAGTTGAAGCTCTCATATTGAAGGCATCCAAGCTCCAAGTCTCTCTGCAGATTCTCTTATTCCTTTAGCTCTTGGCTTTGACTGGGCCATTTGAACAGATAATAATGCTTAGATGTAAACCTTTCCTTTTCTCTGAGCTGTTTACTGTTTGATATATTATTTTATAACATATTTTTACTTTAACCTTCTCTATGACTTGTTTGTGATGTTGATTTCTCTGCTAGTGTGTCTCGTGTTAATATGGTGTCACTTCACTCTGTATGTTACCAGGTTTGAGTTGGCGTACACCCATACCATGTACTACCTTGCTCAAGTTTATAAAAACCTGGGTATGTTTCCTTTATCACTGCTAGTGAAATATGTTGGTTTGAAAACTGTAAACTGAAACCAAATAAAATATTTGATTTAAAGATAAAGATGATTTTTTTTATTTCTTGTTTAATGGTATTTATGACAAATCATTTGACTTGTCAGGTGAAAACGAGCGCGCTGCCACCTACTGTCACAGCACCCTGCAGAGACAGCTCCAGTTGAACCAGTACAGTCCAATGGAGTGGGCCCTGAATGCTGCCACACTGTCTCAGTATTATATTACGAAGGTGGGGCTTGTATGACTTTAATCTGAAATTTAATAAGCATTAATCCGTTTTTTCTTTTCTTTTTTTGTTGTTGATTTTACTCATATCCGCATGTAAATAGATTAAGATTTATGTTAAAAGTTGATCTGTTTAGGGGATTTTTGTGTATATATATATTTTTTTGTTATATATGTGCTTTTTTTGTTTTTCAGGGCAGATACATGGAAGGCAGGCACTGCCTTGCAGCAGCTACTGTTATATCCAGGTTGGCTGGAGAGGTTCCCTCAGAAGCTGCTGCACAAGAAAGTAAATATCTGCTAAAAAATGCTTCACTAATGGGCAGTAAAAGCCTCACCATGCAGCATATTAACTGTTTTTGTATCGTAGTAACATGTTCCTTGATTATTGCAAGGATTATATGTGTAAAAAGAACCGAAGACTGCTCAAGCCAGACTTACTTACACTAAAATCTGTTGTTTAGTTTACGTAAGCCTTTTTATCCTTCCTCTCATTTGCGTTTGGGACCTCTTTCCATCTCTTTCTGTCTGTCCCAGGTGAGACAGAGAGCGAGCGCAGGGAGCAGCTCCGGCAGAAACGAGCAGAGATCGCCAGATGTTGGATTAAATACTGCCTCAATCTCCTGCAGGACTCCAAGAAGCTGCTGGAGGTACTGCACAAGCATGTGAACCGTCTTATAGGATTGTCTTTTGGTTCAGTTGAAGTTTCTTTATGTGCTTCTTAGAACTTTAAACATGTGTTGAGTTATAAAAGAAAGTCTTTTGATCATTTTGATTTTGATGTGCATCAGGATAATATCGGTGAGCTGGATACCGATCGTCAGGATGAGTTGAAACAGGCAAGACGGCAGGAGGAGGAGGAAGAAGAAAAGGGCAGGAAGAGCGCTCTGCTGTTTGGATCAGAGGATACATTTGATTCCATCGCAAGCACAGAGGAAAAGGTTTGTATCTATCTGATGCCTCCGATCTCTTTTTTTTTTTTTTTTCTTATCTGCAGATTGTGTACCAAAGGTCATTTTCAGCTGGGTGTTCATGTTAGGGATGTGAGCTTCTTAGAGCAACAGTCGTTAAATGTTAACGTTTCTTTTCACAATCAATATATGCTCATTATTGCCCACGTAAATCACATTCAGACTTAGCAAAGAGTTAAAAATACAGATAATAAAACAGTTTATGAAACGGGACAAATTCACAATCTATTTTTATTAAAAGTTTGCACAAATATTTAGAGGTCAATATCAGAGATCTTTCAAAATGTGTGATAGGAAGTAGGTTTGAGGAATTAATTGCATTTGAAAGATAATCAAAATTGATCAAAATTCCAAATTGCAGAGGCGCTCAGTTTTGGCAGCGTTACATTTAATAACGGTTTTTTTTTTTCCCTTACTGCAACCCCACAAGAAGTGGTAATATGTTTAAAGTGGGTTTGCTGCCAGAAAAATTTAAGATAAACTTCCAGCTAGCATGCAGATCTATGCAAGCTTGTAGAAATAAGCATTTTTCCAAACTAAGGTTACAATAAAATCTCTTAACAATGCACTCTGGACAAGCAAGCTTTCAAGGTAACGAAAAAGCTGAAACCTTGTAGTGAAACATCTACATCATTGTGATTAGTACAAAGGAGATTTGAAATAAATTTACAGTTGCAATATCGGTTGAAATTAATCGCAATTTAGATGTTTGACAAAATCATTCACCCCTAATTGAAAGTAAAAGTTTGCAAATGTTTGACATTAAAATGTCCTAAAAAAACAATAATGTGTAACATGTATATGTTTTTTTTAATAAACACATGAAAGAAATTCCACGGTGCTACTGAAGCAGACAGCTTGGTGACCTTGATGGTCACATGTTGTCGGCCAGAACGTTTTGGAGCTACTGGAGTCAGTTTTAAGTGAAAAGCAAAAGAACAGAACCCCTCCATAGCTGTAGACACACACTTTGTGTACGGTTGTTCATGCAACCACTAATAAAAAGGTGCTGAACATCTGAGTATGAATGCACATCTAAAGAGGAGTGAGACTCTGCAAGCGAGACCTTTCTGCAGGACAACTGTGATTTAAAGACTGTTGCATATAATTCAGAGAAGTACTGGTATTTTTGCTTTTGGTGTCAGATCTTCATACCGGCCCATTACTACAGGCTTCTTCAACGATAACATGAACATATTCTGTTAGGGGAAAAAATTAAGACATAAATTAATGTAATCATGTCTTTGTTTACAGGTGATGTGTTTGTTCCCTCTGGACTTTGCAGAAGCCAGAGCTGTTTTCCTAGTGGGACAGAACTATGTAACGCAGGTATGATCCACAAACAGCAGTTTATTGGACAGACTGGCATCAGCTGCGCTCTAGTTATCAAGGGTCAGATAGATTTATAGATTTATAACATCTTTGTTTATCATCTAACCAATATATATACAGGTGTTAGGATTCACTTGGCTTTCGTTCTTATTCATTATTTCAATGTTCCCACTGTGTTCTATAAGTTTTGGCATCCCAGGAATCAGCTTTAACTGAGCTGATGCAAAGTTAGCACGTAGAGTTTAAATGTATCATATTTAAAAGATAATATTCTATAAATTACATCGGTTCATGATATATCTTATATGGCTGAGATGATTGCTGATCATTAGTCTGTGCAGCTTGGCCTGAGGAATAATTATCAGAGGCCAGAAGAGATAGAAATCAGTGAGGGACTTTTGTAAATACATCTTAAAGTCTTACAGAGTTGCATCATTTCTTTCTTTCCTCAGACAGTCATGCATCCAGGTTATGCACTAAATGCTACTTGGTTTATGATTATAGTCATGGCGACATTTAGTTTCACTTCAGCATTTTGGTCAACCTTAAAAACCGTTTTGGTCTCATGAAAGTTACCTCCCTGAAGCTGTGCATGTAAGCTGATGTTAGATCATGTAAAATTGTGCGTCTAACAGATTTCATGTGTCCATCCTACCTTTGGTTCCAAGGCTAAGGAGTTCTTTCAGATGGATGGATATGTGACGGACCACATAGAGATTCTGCAGGACCACAGCTCTCTGTTTCGGGCCCTGGCTTTCTTTGAGGAAGATCTGGAACGCCGCTGCAAAATGCACAAACGAAGAGTTGACATGTTGGAGCCAATCTGCAATGGTGCCGATTTCTGACTCAATGTTCTGACTTTGCAGGAATTTGCTTTCTAAATTGTAACCGGATCAATGTTCTACTGGTCTGTTTGTTTCTAGACTTGAACTCTCGATACTACCTGCTGATCCGCAGGCAGCTGATGTTTGAGTTAGGGGAGACTTATAATGACATGATGGACTTGAAGCTGACTCTCGCCAACAGACAAGCAGACAACCATTCTCTAGATAGCCATACCATTAAGAAATTCAACCATCTCTGCTCTGCCTCTGCCAAGTGAGTCTCCATTTAGACAGCCTCTCTGTGCCTTTAACAATTCCTGAATGATTTAAAATCCTCTCCTCTCCAGGTATTTCCAGATGTTCATAGATTCGCTGTGCTCACCAGAAGGAAAGCCTCCTGAGCACCTGGAGGAGGAGGTGCTCAGACCAGCTCTAGTGGCCCGATTCAGGGTCGCTCGACTTCACAGCAAACTGATCAGCTCCTCACCCCCAGTTCAGATGGAAAATCTCAACAGAGCTTTAGAAAACTACAAGTATGATCATAGACATGTTGATATGCAGTCATTGGTATGCCTTGTCGGTTCTAAGTTTTTAATAACAACACACAGGTATGTGGTGGAGTATTGCGAGACTCACCCTGAAGCAGCGGTCGCCGTGGAGACGGAGCTGGAACTCAGCAGAGAGATGGTCGGCCTTCTTCCTCTAAAAATTAACCGCCTTAAATCAAGGATGGCAGCAAACAACTAAGGACCAAGTTGAAAATTCCCTCTCTACTGGCTGATATACTGCTAAACTGATCATGTTAACTACATTGTATCTCGTTACTTTGGCGCCAGAGACGCTTAAATGTAAATTCTGATAGTTTTTTGTTAATGTACTTAAGTGTTTGTTGACTTCTCCCGTTAAGCATGCTGCGTTTGAATGCATCACAGCCAATAACTGCTGCAATGTGCCCTGAATATTGTGCAATAAAGTGGTAATTTCATCTCTCATTCCAGCTCAGATAATATGTAGCATATTGCAGTTAAGTGAAACAAATTTTAGGTAGCAAGGAAAATAAAAAGTTGGTATATTTTCCAGAGCATGGATTTGTGTTCCACCCTCTGAACCTAACAGGATGTTTCATGATGACCTGTTTGCTTCGTCAGATTAAATTTTTCCCCTCTAGCATTAGGAATTAGTGGAACATTAACTCACTAAACCTCATGTTTAGTTGCCTCCTCTTCTCAAAAAAATTCCAGTTTTTTTCTCTTCATTTAGTTTGAAATGACTTATTTGTCTGATTTTGCTCTTCCTACCTTTGACGTAAAATTTGATTTCAACTTTTCCACAGCAATTCAACAAATAGAAATTAATGACTAACATATACTGAAATACTAAAAACCATGACAAAAAATATTCAACTGCAATTAAAACATGTATTGGCCAAACATACAAAGTTTCTGCTGTTTGCAATACAAAAATAAATCTAAATGGATTAGCAGTCGTGGTTTCTTACAAAAAAAAGTTTTATGACAAACTCTTAAGTAACAGACTGACGGCCAGACACCAGCTGCTCCTATGTCTTTCGAAACAATTGTTTGTAGACTGTCTTGTTTAAAGTTTCACTTATACCCAAACTTCCACTTTCCTTACAACCAAACATTTCCTCCCAAGACTGGATAAAATCCTTCTTACCCACCACATGTTTCAGGCTTCCTGTGCAGGAGGAAGCAAAGCAGCGCTAGATTATCACTGAGCCACCACCATGGCTCAGCACCATTTTAACTTCATGCTTCATTCCGTCTCCTCAGCCTACTTATCTGCAGAAAAATTGCTGTTTTTAGTCTTCACAGAACAGACTCTTATATTTAGCTATATGGTTGGGAGCCAATAAGAGCTGACATCTTGTGCCTATTGTGGTCAGTAGTGGTGTATGCTGAGAAGTTCAGGCATACAGTCCTGCAGCGTGTGCAAAACCTGGTGGCTGCTGTGACCAGGTTTTGCTGAAGGTTATTTTGACTAAGTGCCACTCAGGACTGGAATCACATTTAGCATAGCCTTTGTTGTTTAAACTTAACAACACTAGGGATGTTCAAGGCCTTTGCCATTTTTCTGTAACCTCTCTTATTTTGTGACCATTGGTATTGCCATAAAAAATGTATGGCAATAATACCCAAATTCTAAATATAGCTAAGATGAAAATTAATAACTTCAGATGTAAATGAATGCCTAAAGTTGAGCTTGAGTGATTTTTTGAATACAAAGTTTTTATAACTGTCTGTGCAAATAGATTTGAGGGTTATTTTTACCTGAATAAGAATCCTTAAAGGGCTAAAACCATCATTAAAAAAAAAAATGTATTTCATCTTAAACAGAGATGGTGTATAAATTATTGTTCACGTTGTCATGTAAACATTTCTTGTAGGTGCTGCAAAGGCAGTGTTAAATGTCACCTCTGTTTTCGTTTTCTTCAAACCTAAACAATCTGAACCTGCTTTGCAAAGTGTGCTGTGTACTAAATTGTGCAGCTAAAGTGCATCGCCATCAAATGTGAGGCACCGTTACCTAATTGTGAGTTTCTGTTCCATGCTAAAGTGGAGTGCTTGCGAAAGAGGTCGGATGCGTGGGCTGACATCCTGAGCAATTTCCAGCAAATTATGAGGTCATTCAGGCTAAACCTAAGCTACTTCCTCTGTGCAGGCTAGTTGTGGTGGACACTATGTGGCCTCTACACCGCAGTAGGCTAGTGATTGTATAGTGAACAGACCGATGTTTACATTTTATTTTTTTTTACATTTTTGCCCTGGTATGCTAACAGGGAATGGGGGTGAGACATGGTGCATAGGTCAACAGGCTTGTACTCAAACCTGTGGCCGATGTATGAAGGACTTGGTCCTCTGTGTATGGGTTGCATTTTTAAAACCTGAGCCACTTCTACACCAGATGGTAAATTTCTAAAGTTAAGTCAGTTTTTTATGGTAGCAACTGTGAAGGCATCTAACAATTTGGAGTGATGTTACTCCGGTAGATTGTTTGAGTTTCAGAGGCCAGAAGTAAGGCTTCTGAACACCATCATATGAAAGGGAATACCTAATCACTCACAAGAGTAAAGGTTCGTTGCAGCAGTTATTATGATACAAATTTTGTGGGGGTTTTTTGTTATACATTTTTTTTAGACTATCAAAACTTTAAATGAATAAACATAAAAATGTAGACTTAGATAGCTTTTTTAGCAATAGTTATTAAAAATTATAAAAAATTAGTTCATATATGTTTTCCATCTTCTATAGGCTCAGAATTTTGAACTTATACAAGGTGTTTATTCCCCTCGGCCAGGGGAGCTTTTCCCCGATTCCTGGGAAGGCTGGGCATAGAAATTGTTGGTCATTGACAGTGACCTTGGATTCGCACAGAGGGGTGGTGGTCCCCCTTCTTAAGAAAAATGTGCTCTGGTTCTGTAGGCTATGCTACAGGAGATGACACATGCAGCCTACCACACGAGAAGTGTGGTTTTCATCCAGCTGATCATCACCCTACCATGAGGACACCCGAGGTCCGCCACGGATCTCAGTGAATGTCTCAGACAATGGAAGTCTGAACAGAGGGAACTGAAGGAACTGTCAAGGGAAGAAAAACATTGCATGGGATGTAACCCCAGAATCCTTCCGATGGCTAAAGGAACGTGGTTTGGATCCAGACCCACCAGCGGACTAATCCGGACCCAACCTGATTTAAAACATTTATAAAATACTGCATGTTGTCCGACAACAGTGTCTAATTTCACTTGCGCCGCTTCTCCTGTTAATATGGTACAGCACTATGGATAGTCTGGGATCTGGCTGTATGTGATACAAATTAGCCAATGAGCTGCTGCTGTCAGTCTGGATCTGTGCTGCAAGCCACTTTTAGACACAGCAGGTAAACCTTTTGCAAGGCGGCCGATGGGAAAGAAGGAGAAGACGATGAGAAAAAGAAAGCAGAGAAAGTGTGGACTGCTGGAAGAACTGCGGTTAACTGGTGAAAGAAAAGTGAAATGATGTGCTCAAAGATGACCCTGCACATTTTCACTATGTTTGGCTCAACCAACTGCTGTGAAGCAGGATTCTCCACCGTGAACATAATCAAAAATAAATATTGATCCAGGCTCACGAATGAGCACCTTGATATGTGCTTGAGAATGGCTTGATCACCAATTAAACCCAGTTTTAAAAGCTTTGCAGGTCAGCCTAAATCCCACTTCTCTCATTAGGCCCCGCAAAAAAGCAAACGGTCAGTTCAGATGTTTTATAAAATATGTGAATCAGGAAACTGTCTATATACCAAACTGAATGATTGTTGTTCTCTCCCCGTAAAAAACAATTTTGATTTTAAAATGGAAAGATTTTCTATTTTTTAAGATATTTTTTATTTAAAAATTCGATGTATAACATGGATTCATAAACACATCAATTTATTTCAGTGTTAAATTCTGTTTAAAGTAACAGATTATAATTTCAAATGTTTTCGGACCTTTACTGGTTTATTATTTTCTTTATTTGGACCCCGCCGATTTTTAATTGGTTAAACCCTGCTCTAGGGATTAAAGCAGCCTTGACCGATCACAGCGTGGGAAGTGGGCAAGTGAGGCAATATTGCTTTATTATGCCTGACATATCTTTAAGATTTCACTAACTGGCAACTGGAAAACAAATTTTTTTTCAAAGACATTTTCTAGTCACATCCATATTTATCCGATTGGTTCTAACCTGTTTCCTAACCTGTTATAAAGGTGCTGGCCACTAAACCTGCAGCTCCAAAGTCATCATTTCAGAGGGATCTGGTGCAATGATTTAGAACAATCAGTCTATTTAACAGGAAATCAGAATCAAGTATTCACCCAGACCATGGCTAAAATAGATATATTTTCTGTGCATATATAATATGAAACAGCCTGGGCCAGCTAATTAAATCCAGCAGTTTTACAGATCATCATCAGCAGGTGCGACCTGCTCTAAAAACAGGAACTGGACAGCTTGCTAGTCCTGTAGGTGGGTTTCAACACCAAGCCAGGAGGGAAAGACATCAGCAGCAGTGACAGCAGATGGAGCAATTTTGGTTGCCCGTCCCATGACAATTTATTTTTTGCCCGTCCAATGTTAGTTCCATCAGTTTGCATTAAAATCTCATATTCTCAAAGGTAATGCATTTAAGAGAACTACAAAGCAAGTTAAACCCATTGCTAAACCACACAATTCACAGTGAAAACCACATATCAACACTTACAGCCTTACTCCCGCCCATTTACCATTAAAATGCCTTTCTCAACAAGTGTGGGTTTTATAAAAAGAATTGAAAATGATAAAGGCAAAACTTCTAGAATTTTGTTCTTCATCTAAATGACCAAACTGACATACTGCACAAACTGAGCTTAGTGATTCAGGGCTGTGCTTTTTCTTGAAGGTTTAGGACTTGAGCCGAGTGCACATAATCATCCCCCCTCCGTATACTAAAGTATTCCAGAGCTAAATCTGAATCCATCTGTCTAGCAGCTGAATTAAAATGAACTGGAGCAGTAGCCAAGAAAATGAAACCAAACTTTCTCTGTAATGATGAGTAAAGGCTTATAAAACATTATAATTTAATTATCACTGCTAAATGTACTTAAAAAGGAATTCTCGTTTGTGTTAAACTGTATGTTAATGTGTGAATACAGTGTTGTTTCATCTGGGTGATTGAAAATAGCCCTTTCTGCTGTGCTTTTAACTCTGGCTACTCCAACAATTAACTTGATCCTACGTTCATAATGTGGTAAGGATGGGAACGAAAACCACACTGTGAGAAGATTGAGTTTCTAGATAGTGTTTGATGCTGACTGCTACTCAGATGAAGTATAGTAGTAGAAACTATTGTTTAGCAATAACATTAAACAAAGTAATATGAAATCAGAGTTTTAACTAGATAATGTGTTAAATAATTTGAAAAAAAAGAGATCCATCCCAGCTGTACCTCATGAATGTACCATCTAAAGTATGTTTACGTCTTTCTGCTAAGCAGTTCATGTGTTCGTGCAAAGAGGTTACGCTGGTCAGGCTAGTGTGTCATTTCCTGGATGAAAATGATAGCAGCTGATGTTACCACTTCCTTCAGCATCATAGTAATGTGTTAGCTGAAAGCAGTCTTTCTATCTCTACCTTTATCTTACAGAAAAAGTATAGGAAATTTTAAAGGGGAAAATCATGATGCAGGGAGAAAAGCAACACCAAAGCAAAATGAGGTGTTTATTATTATTTTTTTGGATCAGAAATATTTCAAGAAATTGATTCTCATTGGCCCATGAGATAATGAATCAAAAGAACAGCTAAGAGCCACATGAAAACTCTGGAGGAGTTAAATTAAATTAGTTTCACTGTTATTAGCCTCTTTCACAATATTAACTATTTGATAGTTGCTGCGTTAAGGTTGCTGCTTAATTGTTTATTTTATTGCAGAACAACCGTTCTAACAGCTTTTATCATCAAATAAAAAGGAACTGATGTTATATAGGCGTTCCTCAATCTCATTTAAGTGGTTTGTTCACTTATTCCATCTGAATGTGGCTTCAAAAGGTTTTTAACTCACTACATTTTGATGACTGTTAGATGAGTCTTAATATATAGCTGTGTACTACCTGTTCAATGTCATTATAAAAATATATGTGGTCACATAAATACTCTACTGTTTACAATTTTAATAATAAATTACCAAAAAAAAAAAAAAAAAGCTGTCATACTATATATGCTGTATATATCCCATGCACCTTTTTCTTCCTTTGGCACATTCTTCTCCTTTGGCTATTTAAGCTGATGTAAGAAGTCAATTTCTCCACTGTGAGATCAATAAAGTCAATCAATCAATTAATCAATCGGACAAAGAAAGAAGTATCAGAGAAAGATTTAGTTTGACCTCTGCTAACATCTGCTGCACATGTGGAGACCCATTAGAGTCATAGATATGGGAAACATGCAGGCCACATCAAAGCTACATTCTGCACACACACTGGAAACCATACACAGGCCAATCAGTCGCGATGTGCCCTCTTTTAATGAAGGATACAGATATTTGCATTTACTGTAAAAAATATTTAGATATCACATATGTCTTTTCACACTGGATGATATTAAGTCACAACAAATATTTCCTGCTTTGTATCGGTTAGGGTTACTAGATTATTTGATTAGCTTAAGATGAGAATAAATGTCATACAGCTACTTTACATAATCAAAATTAGAGGTTTACATAAATGTTTTGTGTATTTTGTAGATTTGCATTTCAAGCTAACACATACTCTTCCATAAGCTTCTAACGGTTGTTTGCTGAAATGTTATCCTATAGGCTACCTTCAATCAGGTACTTGAGTCGTGTTTACCTTGCTTATACATGTAATTTCTTCCCTATTTTTTATTGGGACTAAGTAAAAGCGACTAGGTAACTCTTAATAATTTGGTTGGGCACTGTGGGTTGATTTTTAAATTCAGTTTAATTTAATTTTAAATTAAAAGTCAAATTTTCAGCTTCAACTTCCTATTCGTGTTAAGGGGAATTCCAGAACATGATGTCCTTTTTTAATGATACCATGTAGCCCATGTTGTAAAGTGCATCAGTCCCTCCTGCAGCGGAATGCCTCTGCATGATGGAGAAACCTTATTTATACACTTTCAAATAAGCTTAATCAAACCAAAGGGTTTGTCTCCAGATCTAAGGGGTGCTCTTTGCCCCTTACTGCATGTGCAAACTGAAAAAAAATAAATATTATTTCTCCTAAAAGACTTATTTTACCAAGCTAATCAGCTTCAATTTGATGCTGTTTTAGAGCATGAACTTTAAACCAAAATCTGTTCATCCCTGTTTCAAAAAACTAGTTTTCTAAAGCAGATATTCTGTTGGACATTCCAATGGTATTTTTATGTATTTGTGGAAACTACAGACATCTGGATAGTGTAAGGATGGTTGAGATTTGTGAAGGTTCGGTTTTCTATCTACCTTGGCTCATTTTTCTCACCTTGGCTCATGGTTTCACGCAAAACAGGTTTGCTCAAGATGTTGCCTTATGGAAAAAATCTGACTCCAGTTAGCTCCATTGTTATGAACTAACCAATCAGAAGCTTTTAGCAACATTACATTATCATCTAGAGATCTTATTTGATATGAAACTCTGAAATACAAGAAACTAAAAATAATAATAATTTCTCTCTATCCTGGCATTTTGAAATCAATTTTTATTCAATTATTTGAACTGATAAGGAATGAAAATGAGCATTTCTTTAAAGCTGATAATACAATTCAGACACTGGGTGTAAAATTATTTAATGTTTTCTTTCATCTTTCTGTTAAAAGGTAAACATGAAAAGATTTTACAACCCTGTTACCTTTACAATTAAAGGGAAGAGGATTAGGGCCACTGGAAAAAAACAAAAAGTTAACTGATTTTTAAATATTATTTCAGTTTAATATGATTTTTGACTTTGATCTCAGAATTCTGACTTTAATCTCAGAATTGTGGATCTTACAGTAATGGAGATGGGAACCATGATGGAAGAGATGTGGGAGCACTCAGCTTCACTGACAAATATGTGAGTTGTTTTAGAGGACCAGTTACACATTGGTGGAAAATGATGGAATTAGGCAACTTTTTACTGCCGGAGGAGCCCCCTGTGATGCTATGTCATTAATGGAAAAGCAGAAGGTGATTAAAACAAGAGAGCTAGTGTAGTCTCTAAAACAGACATGGCTATGGCTTGATTCTAACATGTTTGTTTGCTGTCAGAATTCTGTGAGAATTTCGATATTAAAGTCAGAATTCTGAGATTAAAGCCTGAATTCTGATAAAAAAAAAGTTAGAATTGTGAGAAACAAGTCAGAATTGTGAGATTAAAGTCAGACTTCTGAGAAAAAAAAGTCAGAATTCTGAGAAAAAGGTCAGAATTCTGACTTTTTTCCCCATATTATACTGAAATAAAATGTAAAGATCAGTTAACTTTTTAAATTTTTTCAGTGGCCCTAATCCTCTTCCGTATAATTAAAATGAAAAAAAAAAAAAAAAAATAATAATAATAAAATAAAAAATAAATAAATAAATAAATATATATATATATATATATATATATATATATATATATATATATTTGTTTGTTGTACATAGTTTTAAAAAAATATGTACAACAAACGGGACTGGAAAAATTCTCAACCTCACAAGTTATTTCAGTTCAATAAGAAATAAATAAATAAATAAAAAAGGAGCCACTGGCTAATTTAGTCCTTTATCGCTTCCTCTCTCCTTCCTGTCATCATCAGAAAAACTTAGCATCTTATCTTCATTGGTTTCCTTAATCCAGGGCCGATGTGTGATTATCTAAGGTAAAAGTTTCCACTGAGGATGTTCTTCTGAAGAAGAAGACTCTTCAGGAAACCATGACGCACTCTGAGGGCAGAGCTGTTTCTGTCTGCCTGAGGTATTTCACACAGTTACTCTTTACTAAGCAGACGCTTTATCTCAGGAAGGAGCGCATTTCTACCGTCTTATTTTCAAAAGAAGATCTTTAAAAGCTGAGGATGAAACTGGTTCTTCTCTTTGCTGTAGCCTGCCTCGCCTTACATAATGGAAAAGGTAGGTCCATTATGACTTTTAAAAACTTTTTAATACGCAGAAACAGACTGCGCTGAAAACAAGAAGCATAGAAGTGTTTTAAATTTGATTTATTGTCAGTGTAGCTATACCAAAAAAGCGCTATTAGGCAAATAGGAGCGCCTCCACAGAGAGATTTTTTGGGACTGTTTATGACAAAGAGAAGGGATTGCTTTATTTTTTCCTCGTAGCGCATGTGTTGCGCAAGGATGATTAAATTATTACCAATGCCTTTGGCTCAGTTCACCATCCTCTGAAAGAAAAGCTGCCTGGTTTCCAGTTCTCCTACAGTCAGACAGCCTGTTTTATAATAACACCTCATCATGGTGAAAATATGCTCATTCCGCTGCCTGATCAAGATCAAGTTAAACGGAAAGACTAAATATGAGTCGGTTTCCGAGTTAGGTTTCGATGAAGCTTGTTTAGAGCTGCTGATCTGTGAAAGGAACATTTTAGGGCTCTGTGTCAAGAGAATGGAAACTCAGTGGGATAAGGAAACCCCTATTAGCTATTGTTTATTTTATAGGAGGGGATTTTTCTCTTTTCCCTCTCCTTTTTACGCCCTATGGCCAAACTTCATATGCAATTTAAGATTTAATCACAATGAAATAGTGACAAAAGTCTAAATTCCTTTTATTGTCTTTATGCTTTATGTGTATGATGAGTTTAACTTTAGTAACAGGCTGAAGAGAAAGGTTTTATTAGCTGAAAGTAAAGATTCTATCTAAAAAAATACTTTAGTTATTCAGTATCTTAAAATAATTAATGAATCAAGACCAAAAACAGGTAACGTATCCCATGGCAGCCACAAATGAATGCCTTCTATTTTCTACCTGAAACAACCCTCACTGTCTTCTTTACTAAATGCAGTTAAATTGCCCCATATTAAGAAACATTAGGTGTCTAATTTAATTCAGATTTGATTTAAATGGTTACTAAATTAATTCACACAGACAGAGAAAAGGCAAAAATAAATTTTCAGTGTTGGTAGCAATGTTGGTAGGGTGGAAGAGGAAGAATGCCTGGCCAAGAAGTGTATTTTATTTGATGTTTACTGAGTTGGCAATCAGCTGTTGTGAATTACATGATGTAGAAAAATCCAGCATGGACAGTATGAACAGGACACAACTCCAAATTAAATTTAGTTTTGGGCTTCCTTTTTGGGCAAGCTCTCCCTTAGTAGCAGAATGAGTGTGTGTGGCAAAAAAATATAGATACACTTTAATGTTAAACCGTTTTTTTACCAGGATGGCCTCATCCTTGCCTAAGATTTCTCAAGAGCCACAAGGCTTGCATTAATCATCAGCAAACTGCACACATGAACCGATGACAAAACACATGATGCTCCTTCTGAGGACCAGACATTGTTTGAGCAATTGTAATTCCAGAAGTTTTGGCAACGTATCAGCTCCGTGCACTGCTTGCAGAAATGTGTTGAGAAACACTGACATGATGCTGCTTCCTTCTTTTAGATATAACCAACAACTATTGTTGTGATGTCCCGAAATGTACGAAAAATAAAAGGATCTAAAAGTCATATTATGTACTAAATGTTTATTATAACACTATTAGCAAAATTTGTGAATTTGTTTCTACTTTTCTAGGAGCACCTGCAACTGCTGTTTACAAGTTTTTGAGATGTAATCCTGAGGGCGGCAATGCCAACTGCAAGGTCCACCAGAGCTCTGAGATACCATGGAGCCCAGATCTCCCATCCAAACTGCCTGCCTCTGACGCCGAGTATCTGTGAGTATTCAGCCTTCCAGTGAATGCTCACACCCTGCATGGGCAAACTTATTTCCCACATGAAGTGGTGAGCGTTTTTACAGCAGTAAATTAATCAAATGAAGACAAAAATACCATATAGGGCAGCTGTCAGCCAAATGCAGATGTGAAATGCTGATGCTGCGTCAGAGCTTTTACCTTGGCTCCTAAGGCAGCCTGATCTGTGTGTTTGCTTGTGTGCATTCATGTGATCTATGCTCGACAGTGGACTTAAGTGTGAGGTTCATGGCCAAGAAAGGCAAAAATAGAGGGCGACGTGGAAGGTTAAAGAAAGAGAGACAGAAAACCAGAGAGATGAAAAAAGCAGCAAATATTTTGAAAACATATAGCTTATATCAGATTGCACGAAATGTCAGCATTTAACTAAAATTGGTTGACCTGAAGTCTTTGATTTGCTTGTTATGCATAAGTTAAATGTCTTTTTGCAGGGGATTGTTGATTAAAAATTATCTAAACTTCCATGTGCTCAAGATATTTGACAGATTTTTGTCACGTTATGAGCACTATTATGAATTAGAATCTGCCTGTTTTTCAAACCATTTGAAATCCTTGAAATCCAATATTAGCTTTGTTGAACTACTGTAGAGAGAAAATAAAGCTGAAAATAAATGCAAGGTTATTTTTGAATGCTATTAAAAGTGTGGAGATGTAATGTAGGGACTGTTGTGGTAAAAGATTTTTATGAAAGCAAACTGAAGCTTTGCAGGATCTACATGTCAGTTCAGAGGCTGAAACAGTGAAAATGCTTCTATTTTATGATGCTATTGTTACTGTCATATCTAAAGTTTATTTTTTTCCAGTCTAGACTATGTGCATAGATCATCACGTACTTTTATTATCTTTTGCTGGGCAGGATGATGGTTTGATAAGTATTGAATGAGTCATGATTTAAAAAAAGACATTAGCGAGTTAAGAAACCATCACAATCGTTTAGCAGCTTAGATCCGAAAACCATCCATCATAAAGGAACCTTTACTTTTTGCATATTGTAATTTTACAACCGAAAAGATCCACTGCTTTAGGAGAGGGAACCTGTCGACCAAACATTTAATTCTTCAAAACTAAACGTTTTGGTGCGCATCCAAATAAGATATATTTGGTGGAAAAGAAGCCTGATCGCCTGCTCACCATCTGTACTCCTAAACATGGTGGTGGCAGTATCATGTTATGGTGATGCTTTTCTGTAGCAGAACAGGGAGACTGGTGGGAAAAGAGCAAGGCTTAGCAGCTCAGGAGGATAGTCATCATAAACATCCAGTGCTACAATTGGATGGTTCTTTTTGTTAGAAAGGTCCAGTCAGAGTCCAAAATTGAGATTTACAGGCGCCCTTAAGTTTGACAAAAAATCAGCAAAAACATTCAATATCTAGTTCTGCAAAGCTGCTGGAGATAAAGCAAAAAAGACTGATGCTGTGTGGTAACCAATACAGGATGCCTACAGAGTACATGAATATATGTTCACAACTTGACTTAACATTGCTTTGGTTTTTGCAAAATGTAGAATTGCAATGGGATTTTGCAATTTTTCACTTCCTTAATAAAAAAAACCTACAAATCTTTTCAGAAAAGCCAAAGGTTTATACGCTAAAGCATGTTTTTATTTCAATTATGTGTTAATAGGAATATTTCTACCTCTTTTTGAGGTTAAAAGGAGAGCAAATCTTTAAAGTCTGGGAATTTCACATGAGAAAAATATGTTTTTATTTTTTTCAGAGGTGTAAAATAAGCCACACTTTGGATCTATATGTTCTAAAATGTTCTTTTTTTTATCTGACACAGCTTCAAAAACCCCCTGCAATATTCTGTAGCGTAATTGCTTAAAATGATTGATCAATCTTGATCTGAACCCACAGTTTCCTCTTTGAAAGCTTCTCTTAACCACTAATCTTTTTTTTTCTGATAACAGATACGTCGTTTAAAGGAGTGTTCTCAAAAACAAGAAGCACAGACTGCATTTTGTCAAGTTTAGGTTAATGGTTTAAAAGTCAGATGTACAGAGTGTGGCGTGCATTTTAGAGAGACAACACGATAATCCGAGTAACATTAAGGGGTGTACAAATCCAAAGCTCCAGAAGTAATAAAGAACACTGTTCAAATTCATGATTAATTGCTGGGTTTTGGGAAATGTTTCTGAATCAGTGGTAACTCTGATTGCTGACTAAGCCTTTAGCACAGACATTACCAAGCTTGCTTTGCTTGCAGAGGTTTCTCAGAAAGGTAACGGCAGATTATAGCTCAGGAAGTGACTAAAAATGAAAGAAATTTGTCCTGCTGACTTTGTCTAAAACATTACTTTTTTACTATTTTGAGTTCTCATAGTATTTTCTAACCTCAGTGATATATCTGGAGAATGTCAGAGCACTTAAGTCCTCCACAGTTTCTCAGCTAACTTTGAACAGGAAGTTAGAGGAAATGTTTAGAGGAAGCGGGCTGCAACACTTTGTGGGCTGCTACTTCTGGTCTATTGTTTCATTGCTGTGTTTGTCCCTGGGTCGTCAAATACTAAAGCTTGAAAACAGCAGCTAAATAGTATAGGAGTACTGTGGAGCTACAGTATGGAGAAACATCTTTAAAATGCGTTTAAGGAAATACCTTTTCTTCCATCTGTTTATTCTAACCTTTGCCACATGGAGCGTATTTAGTTCTGATTTGATGCCTCAACAACTTATTGATAATAAACAACAATAAGACCTGCTGCTGAATGTTGAGATATAACTAAATTGCTAGATTAGGAAAAAAAAAGGTTGCATCTCCATAGAAAACATCTCCTGAACAACATTTTTGGCTCTATGAATTACAACAATGAAGTACAAAAAAGAAAGTAAACCTTTGAGCTTAACCTCTTAACATCCACCTCATTTTGGGTAATCCTCGCCTATTTTGCATACCCAAATGGAAAAGCAAATAACTTCGGAACTTTAAGCCCAAATGTGCAATACATTATTTGAAAGCAAACACCCTCTAGTTTCCTAATATTTAAATTACAATTGGGTGAGTAGAACACAGACCAACCTGCATCAGTTCAAACATGACTCAAGGTTTTTTTTTTTTTTTTGAAAAGCAGTAATAAAGACATTCTTGAGAAAAAGCAGGTTTCATTGTATTATATTTGTTCTAGATCACGTCAACCACAAATGCAGAAAATGTCAGACCTCTAGCTGTAACAGTTCCAGAGCTGTGGGGTATGATACTTTTGGTGTCAGCTTGGAGCTGCTCGAAATGGCTCTACCTGACGGTAAAAATTTTACCGGTGGAATTTAAGAGGTTTTAAGAGGTTAAACTTGTATGAAAATGTGTTTATATGCATATTTTTTGTCTATACTTTTCAGAATGTATCTATTTACTTATATTAAATGTATTTCTGTACATTTATTTCAATTGTTTTTTGACTACCGATGGGTTACCCATGGCAACTCCCTAAAATAATTCTAAGTATAAGCAAGTTTTTGCATCAAAATTCTGAGTTACTGTATTTTTGACCCAATATTGGTTTTTCACAGGTGGTTTAGTAGAGGCGGTAGTAATATTCAATAAAACTCACAACCACACTGGTGCTGGGAATCCATAATGCCTGTTCCTTAATTCAAAACACTCTTCATAAGCAACACAAAGTCTGGCTGAACAGCTGCTATCACATCATGCATGAAGCAAACAGAGTATGTCCAACCCCATAATGGTACTTCAGAGTTGGGGAAATTAAGATATAAAGTTCATCTCACTGCTGAATTGTGTATCAACAAGCACACGCCACTCATCACTCTTTCCAGAGGATAGTGGTGCATACTTGTGGTAAGTGATAATCTGCAGTTGTAGCAGTCTTAAAGAGACACTACATATTTACAACAGCTATATTTTCCAGACCAAGATTGACACAGATCCCCAAACACTGGCCACCCTTTACAAAGCTTTCTTGACCTGCTCCTGTGTGTCAAAAAAAAAATGTAAGGACCAAATAGTTTAAAAAGAATCATAATAAAACAAATGCAGTAAAATCGCAATAAAGAAGTTTATTTAGTTGAAAATTAAAACTTTTGGCTTAGATATCATGCATAATAATTTAGGCAACAAAACTGTCTTTTAGCAAAAGAACATAACAGTCAATAGCATGGTTGCCATAATTGAAAGGAGAGTGAAGTTTGTGTTCCATCTAAAAATCCTGAGGATTGATCTAATTAGCAGTTTAGGATCCTTAGCTTTAGTTGCATAGCAGGACAATGACAAAAACACACCTGCAAGTCTGTTTCTGAAAGGCTTATAAATAAAAGCTTTTAGAGTTCAGTTGTGTTCAGTTCAGTTGAGTTTGAGTTTATTGAATGTAATATAGTCAAATCAATGAATTAGTCACATATTGTATAAAGAAAAGCAATCAGAAAAAATTTAAAGAGCAAAAGAAAAACAGTAGTAATAGGAATATTCAAAGGACTGGGTAGAATTATAGGCAAGGCAATTTTATTTGTATAGCACAATTCAGTATATTGACAGTACTTTACGCGAATTAGACAATATATTAGAAAAAATAAAGAAAAAAATAAAAGCAGGAAAAAAAAATAAAACCATTTGTAAAGCAAATAAAACAGTTGGAACACAAAGAAAGCAGACTAAAAGCAAGTATAGACTTAGGTTTAAACCCACCCATGATATTGGCAGTTATAATTGAGTAAATATTTCTCATATTCTTCTGCAGTGACAATAATCTTCTTAAATAACATTTAAAACTGTTTTTATGTGCGGACATTGCTGATCCCCAGCTTAAACCATCTCTAACTTATTCAAGTTTTGAAGTACTCCCTTTTTTCAAATGAAAGTTTTTAATTTTACTTTCTGATAACACATTATTTTTGGCTTCAAATAAAACAATAGCCTTTTGTAATTCCCCATGTCAGCTAGTTTTAACAATTCAACAAGTTTTCCATTTGACAATCCTAGGTGAAATATGAATGAAATTCTGTGGCATGACCTTAAATAGATAGTTGATCTTTAAAAACCATCTAGTGTGGCATTAAAGAAAAGGATGCGGAATATACCAAGTTGTAGATTAAATCTTGTTTTAGATTGCTTTTTGTATTTAGTTATGTTATTTTTGTCTGACATTTAAATGTTCCCGAAAAAATTTAAGTCAGCAAATACTTTTTCAGCTGAGATCCCATATTACTTCACCTGCTTCCACCAGACTTTAATATAGGTTATACTTAAATCATAACTAATTAATAATAAACTTGTTATGATTTAAGTATAATCATAATAAATTATGATTATGAACTTATGAGCAAGGCAGTTAAAGTGAATATATTTCTACTAAGGTTAGATGAAATGTGTAGAAGCACAGCAGAAAACAAGCTTATAGAGTTGAATAGAACTTAGCACTTAGCAAGAGCCGATGTGTGAAGTGTAAAAAACAAGTATGGCTTACTAATGCCTTCATTAAACAGCGTAAAACCAGACAGCCCAATGTAAATAGATTTGTAGTGTTAAAAACATGTCATCGCCTTCCTATTCTTGTGTATACAAAATTATATACAGTATTACATTTCTTTCTATAAAACATCCCAAGTGAAAGTTTGAAGATGAAAATGTTTGTTTCACCTTCTGCTTGGTAACACTTATTACTTATTTGAAGAAATTTTTTTCAGCTAAAAAAGTCAAATTCACCAGACCAGCAGTTACAGCTTGTAGCTTATGTTAGTGCTGTTTTTTTTTAAAATATCTTTAAAAATATGTATATTTTATGACAACAAAGAACAGATTGCTTGAATTACACAGAAAACAACTCATGGAGTTATTCGTTAAAAAATAATAAGATAAAATGAAGTTCGGACAAACCTTAAAAAGGAGATTTGAGGGAAAGCAAACTGAAAATGAAAGAAAAGAAATGCAAGAAGAGACATACTCTTATCAAAGGTGCAGGTTTTGTTTAGCTTGGTGCTAATGCTGCATTTACATTATGTTTTAATAACCTTTAAAAAAAATAGTATCTTCACTTATTGTTGTCTATAGATCACCTCTGTTCCTACTGAAGCTAAAAGCAATGCGCGCACTCCCCTTTACCCTACAGTGTAAAATGATTGAGTGGTGTGTTTGCAAGCATGGACCAGAAGTAGCATGGGTTAGAACTGTGGAGCAGGGATGGTTTGCAAGCCGTCACCAGCAGTCAATCGATAAGCAGAAGGAACACTTTGTTTTTCTCTCTCACTGTTAAAAGCATATATAAATAATTCATGTTGTTTTTCCTTGAAATTCAAATTAACAGAACAGAAAGCAAAGCAACATATTATTGTTAACATCAGATTGATTATGATTAATATAAACATTTATTTCTGTTTGCAGAGAGGCACAACCAGTTGAGAGTGAGGAGGCTCCCTCAATGATGGATGGCCCCTCAGAGCCAGAGGAGGAAGATGAACCAATAAGGAGTGAAGATGGAGAGTCACCTATGTTTTTCCCAGGAGAAGAAGGCTCTGGTTATGAAGGGTCTGCAATAGATTACTTTACTATCGCTGATGAGCCTAAAGAAGCTGAAATTGACACAGGTTCCGGTGAATCTTGGACAGACTTTGTTCAGCCCTTAGGTATTACATTTTTCATTAAAACTTGGAATTAAGTCACTCATTTCCTTATATTGGTATCTTCTTGTTTTTGTAGCTGGAAAAGTGAGGAACACTCCAGGTGAAGCTGCAAAGCCAACAGAGCAGGACCTTGAAGAAGACCACCTTCTGCAGATATAAACTTTAAGAAAAGTCAACCATTGCAACTCCCCAGTAAAAGCAAAAGAAATACTGCATCACCATCTGCTGGAGAAAAATTGAACTTGCGGAGGCCAAATGTCTACTTTGGATTATATTAGTAAATGATGCGGGTTATTTTTATATATATATATATATATAAAAAAATCATAAGAATTTTATTTCATTTGCAAAGCAGCTGCTGTTTTATAAAAATGCCCCACTATTCAACCATGGAGTGTAAATTTGGTGAGGTCTAAACTCTGCTTCATCTCTCTATATATTTTTTTTCATTTTGTATAAAGAAAATATATCATGGTAAAAGAAAAATGCTTTTAAAATAGTATGCTGCCAGTGCAAAAAATAATACTGTTTTCACTGCGTTGCTCATGTTAAAGCCACTCCTGTCATCTTTTGATCGATCAACAAACCAAAGAAAAAACTTATTTATACATTTTTTTATTCATCCTAATTAAGATGACGTTGCTAATTATTTTGCAAGAAATAAAAAGTTAATGGGTCTACAATCAATAATTAATATCAAGTTAATATGTGTACAATGAATATAAACATTTTTTGCAATAATCTGTACATTGTTCCAGTTTTTTTCATATAGCTCAATATGCATTTGAGATATTTCAATCAATAAGGGATTGAATAAAAGTTTTAAAGAAGTATAATGTCTCTCATTAAGATCAGTGTTTTACACTAGAATGTTTTCGGCTCTTCTGTTCTTTTAAGTTAAGGTTGATTTACATGGCATGATTTTAAAATAGCATATTAAAGGATAAAAAACAACATTGATATAAAGATTTGCTCACACAGTGGGTGTTCGACAGCATACACAGACAGATTTGATAGAGCTGATCTAAATTCCTTACTAGAAATCCCATCTATCCATCCATTTTCCGTCACGCTTATCCCTAGCAGGGTCGCAAGGGGTGCTGGTGCCCATCTCCAGCTGGTTACGGGTTCACCCTGGACAGCCAGTCCATTGCAGGGCAACACAGAGACACACAACCATTCATGCACACACTCATACCTAAGGAGAATTTAGAGAAGCCAATTAACCTAACAGTCATGTTTTTGGACTGTGGGAGGAAGCTGGAGTACCCAGGGAAAACCCATGCATGGACAGGGAGAACATGCAAACTCCATGCAGAAAGAACCAGTGCCGGGAATCGAACACGGAACCTGCTTGCTGCAAGGCAGCAGTGCTACTCCACTGCCCCACTGAGCAGAATTTCTAGTAATTTTCTAAAGCTGGACCAGATCTTAAATGATTGTCACCACTTTGTACTATTTCAAAATAAAAAATATAAGTGCACAATTATCATATGTGTGATTCTTCAAAACTTCATTCACAGGCCTATTTGATCACATTTCTAGAGATTTTTCCTGTCACAGAGTACATTTCTGTACAACAAAAGGTTTAATTAGCCAATGAATGGCCATTTATATATACCAACACCATTAGTGGTTTTGATTTAAATTAAAAGTCTTGGAGCAACCTTTATATCAGGAACTTATTTCCAAATAGTTCTGTCTTTGTCAGTTACTGTTTCATTGATACCAGCCTTGCAAAGTGTGGCATTATAGAACAACAGATGAAGAAATGAATTTGTACGCTTATGTTCATGAACAGTAAGTACTCCTCATATGAATATTCACATTTTTATTAGGAAAATGCTGGAATTAAAATGGTTAGGTCAACAAACTCTTTAACTTAGCTAGTAAAATTCAACTAGCTTCCTGGTAACTTGTCCTGGTAGGTAACCAGTCCTCCATGAGTGACCCTGATGGACAGGTGGTAAGTGATGGATTGATCAAATTCAACTAGGTAAAAAAAAAAAAAAAAAAAGCCAACACTAATAGATTAGTGAGAAAGGGAACCCATAGGGAAACCACTAACCGATAAATCGATGCAATGATATCACAATTTATATTTGAATATTTCTGATTAAGAACCAAAGTTTATTTTTTGTCATGTGGATCGAGCCAAAACGAGTTCAGGTGTGCAACTTTAGTGGGTTGTAGAAGCAGCATTCTGTGTTCTACCATCTTCTTTTCACCACTATGATCCCATCTTCTTCTCCATGCTGAAAGTGAAAAAAAGGATACAGTTTAAAAGGAGGATTTTCTCATTTCAAATGCAAATTCTCAAATATTTTAAGTGGAACAAGGTTTGGGCTTCAGCTACAAAGCTGTAATCACAACTTTGCTATGTGCTGTACTGCTTCGGTTCAATATCTGACAGGCTTTAATAGTTCAGGTGCCATATATTTAAAATAGTATTTACGCTCATCGTCATAGCGCAGCAAGTAAAGCCCCATTCATACCTCACGTAAAAGACGGATACGGATACGTGTGGAGTGTTTCATACGTTCTAACCGTCGATTTCGTCCGTACTTTGACACGAAAATTGGGAGCTTACGCTTACGGACGAAACGGATCAATACGGAGCAATACTACCGGAAACGGTGGGGGCGCTATTGAGTTTTTAGTACAAAATGTCAACAAAATCACAAAGAAGGTTAGAATTCTGGGCTTTAAACAATGGAACATCCATCTCCCGCATAGGCAACACCAAATTGCAAAATTCCCCATCAAAAGGGCGACTGATATTCAATGGCCTCACGTTCCACCGTCGATCTCGTTTTTTACTTTTCTTTCGCTTACGGAGCAAATGCAACAGAATCAGGTCTTGGACCATCGCCATGTTTTGATCAATGACGAATCATTGGCGCCCAGCACTGCCACCTAGAGGAAATACGGGTTATTGCGCACCTCAACGGACGGAGGTATGAAGGAGTCAACGGATAGAACGTACGGACAGAAATACGGACGTGCAGGCCAAACGTGAGGTATGAATGGGCCTTAAGCAGGAAACAGGCATTGGACGGCAATCATGGCTTCAGCTAAAACTAAACCTTTTTCCACATCTAGCATTTCATAAAACAAAATTCTAATCATTGACAGTAAAGAATAATTAATAAACACAGGGCAGCACATGTATCTCACTTGTATTTGATGAGTCGACCTCCCTGGACCAGCTGTGCTCCCTCGTTGGTCAGGTGGCAGGCAAAGAGGAGCCAGTTACGAGGCTGAACCTTGTAGGCGAACCTCATGAAGAGGAGAGAGTAACAGCACAGAGCTGAAAGCAGAAAGAAAAATATTAAGTACCTTCTAATTAAAAAGATCATATCAAATAATTATAATTAAATCAATTATAAAAATACTAGTGATAGTGAGATGAAGCCTCATGAAGCATTTGGCCAAATTGCTATGGTTCATGAGGCTCCATGTGAACATGTCACCACCTACTGGTGTAAAGCAGAACTGCACTTTGTAATAGAATTTGTGATTTTTTGCAAATGTTTCTTTATTTCCCCCCTTTTAAGTTCCTTTGAAATTGTTAATTGTTGGTATGCATAATAAAATCTTTTGCAAGTGTAAAATGTCTTTCAATCATTTTAGGTGCACAGTTTTTCTGCCATTTTAGTGAAATAAACTCAAGCAAACAGTGAAAGTGTTCCTGCTAAGTGGGCAATGATGAGCAAAATGAAAGGTGTTTGTCATTTTTATTCAAAGATAATAGTTTTTCCTAATTTTTTGGTTTTAATCGGGTTGGAAATTGTGTTCAACCAATCATTTGGCTAAACCGGCCTAATTTGGCAGCATTTTTACCCAATCTATTTTTTACTAGGGCAAACCAACTCAAAATTAGTCTCATTATCCAAAATAATTAAGTATAATCGCAACTTTCAAAAGCCAAAGGTAGGTCTTGAACCATCAACCTCAGATGAGGGAGTCTGTGTGTTACAGATGACACCATGTAGTAAAGTCCCCAATGGGATTTTGACCATTACATTGTTTCTTCTACCCAAAATAGTTTTAAGCAACTAGATTGGTTGGAAAAACAACCTATTCTTAGAATGTATCCAAACTCTATCCAGCTGACAGCAAGTCTCCTACAAACTCCCACACCTTGACTGAATCCTGAGGCTATTTAAATGCCTGTCATATTTCTTGCGCTTTCTGAACCCCTCCATGAAGCGGTCACATGGTATCCCGGTAGCCAGGCCTTGGACGTCATCAATTTTAGCCTCGACACACGCTTTGTGGAAACGCCCCCTCCATTATTCAACACACGTCTCGAAGCCTCAGCTCATCTCATAAAATCACTAATCTCTACTAACATTTTAACAGTTTTGAAAAACTATTCTGTACAAATAAACAATAAGACATTGATAGTAGAACTCTAATCAAATAAAAGTCCTTAGCTGAGAGTCTGACATTAAAATATAGTGTTTTATTTGAACTTTTCATAACAGTAACCTTAAATAGTATCACATGCTGTAGTTGGCAACAAATCTGCATGTTTGTATGTCCTACCGAAGGTCATCCTGCCGCTGATGATTTCAGGGCTCTTCTTCATATCTGTGATGGCAGCAATGGGAAGACCCCAGTTTGCGACTGGACCCCAGAAATGCTGTAAAAGTAATATGGATGGTTGGCAGATTAAACAGGGCTGGAAGTTCTGGTGGATTGTACACTTCAAGCAAACAAGATTTCTGAAACAACATGTAGTCCTGTACAGACAGGAGTACATGTTAGGATGGAAAGATGCATGACCTACCGTGCTTTTATGTGTTCATTTTAACATCGACATGAAAGGGAAAGAAAAAAAAAAAACATAGTTAAGGAAGAAAGTAGGCAACTATTTCAAAGTCTAATAAATGAGCATTTTACTTTTTATAATGTTGGTTTTTTATAAAAGTTTCTGATTGACAAATCACATTTTAGTATAAATGTAAACTGCCACACTCTGTGACACAAAGAAGGACAATCAGTGATTAAAAAGCAAACAGAGTTTGTTGCATCACAAAAAACCTACTTTGACCTTTAATCTGGATTTTCAGGAATGAAGCTGGTTTGTGGGACATTTTGCTCCGTAAAAGCAATAAGAGATTTCACTTTTAGTTACTAAAGTAGTTGTTAGGATCAATCCAAACAGACAAAAGTAAACCCACATCAGGGTATTGTTTACAGGACGCAAAACGTCACAAAGTCCCACCGTTCATCTGCTTTGGTAGATATTATTATAATATAATAGGATCTATCTGTATAAATTCAGCCAAATTAATTAATTTGCTATTAAAACAATGACACACACTCCAAAATGATAACAGAAAGCTACACAGAACAACAAGCGCCCTTGAGCTTTTTTAAAGCACACTGAAGACAAGAAGAAACACTATAACGGTTTAAATGTAAGCTGAGAATATTTAAACAAACTAGCAATTATCAGAAACCTGCAGCTCAACATTTAGCTAGCTCAGTTAGCACCTTCCTATCATATAACACATTTGAGTCTTTTTTTTTTTTCTTAAACGCACCTCATTAAATAATCTCTGAAGTCTTTGCTCTTCAGGTGGTCGATGGCTTTGCGAGCAAGTGTCCCCGCCATTGTTAAAAGTTAGAGGATGATTGGGTCTACAGGAGAACTCTCCCCGACAGTACTGAAGGACGACTGAAAGCAGGAGAGCTTAGCTATCAGAGGACGGCCAATAATATCCGGAGGTGTTTTAGTGAATGCAGTTACCCTGTAAAAATGTGCTTCCGGCTGATACGTCAACATGGCGCCTCTACGCCAACCTCGTCCCAGCACCTCACGTTGCGTTCAATTACACCACGTACACATGATAGGTTATTTCGAAACAACGCTGAATAGGGTAAAAAAAATTATTTTATTGTGAAATGTGAAGTCTATGGGACGTTTTAACTTTAGGATGTGTTTAAGTAGGGTCGTTTAGGAGATTTTAAGTGATTCTAAAATGATTTATCACAACAAATAATTTTAACAAGAAATTATTTAAGTGACTTTGTTTTTATTCAATTAATAGTTAATTGGGTGGATATTGAATCGTAAAATATTAATAAAAATCGGGAGGACAGAATTCAGCACCACTGCAGAAGTCAGAAACATAAAACTGCACACTGTCCATTTCATATATATATATATAGTATATAACATTGCACAGTACAATGCTTATTTTTAGATTTTCTTATTATGTTTTTTATACTGTTATTTTTATACACTTTCTAAGGTCCACATTGTTTGACCACTTTTGCTATAACCTTTTGCTGCTGTACCATCTCAATTTCCCCATTGCGGGACAATAAAGGGATTTTCAGATGGATTATCAGTATACATGGGAAATGTTGGCATAAAACCTTAAAAAACAGTAATTTGTTCAGATTAAATTAAGTTTAAAATATAATCAATCAGATTGTAGGATGGACATTCTATAAGAAATATTTCATACATTATTCAGAATAAAAAATATGGGTTTGACGGTTGTATTTGTGTGGGTTCCAGCACATATTGGAGTAGCAGGAAACGAGAGGGCAGATAAAATGGCAGAGGGGAATTCAAAATCGTATTAGTTTTACAGTTAAAACAAGTAAATCGGAGGGAAAGAGTATTATTGAATGAAAATTGATGGAAATGGCACAAAAGGTGAGATGAAAAAAAAAATTCATTAGATGGTAGGAAAAAGAAGAAATGGAAGACGAAATAGAAAGGAGGAGAGAGTGACAACAATGTTAAGATTTGGGCAACAGGACTTCATTTTACACTTTATAAAATTCAAAAGTATACCTCTGGCAAATGTGATTACTGTGGAAAATATGAAACAATAGAACATGTTATACTGGAATGTCATAAATACGAAACCAAGATAAGATATATGAGGAGAGAGTTTGAATGTATTAAGGAAAAAATTCATTTAGTAGATATTTTGAGGAAGAATTTGGGGAGCAAACATATACAAATAATTATTATTTCATTAATTTCATTATCGAGAGGGTGAACGTGTGTATGATATAGACGGGTAGAATACAAAGTTATGTTTTTTTTTTTCTTTTTCCTTAGAAAAAAAAAAAAAAAAAAAAATATATATATATATATATATATATATATATATATATATATATATATATATATATATATATATATATATATATATATATATATATAAAGTAGATAGTCCATCACGAACCACACTCCATACCAGTAAGTGGCGGTTGCTGCCAACCGCCAATAAATCTAACAAGAACAAGGCCACACATAGACTGGGGACGAAGCTCGATACAACTCCGGTAGGCACTTCCGCTAACGCAACAATTTATCTTCCGGTTCAGGGTTCGGGCAGCATGATGGCGGTGCGTGGCGAGAACGTGTCTCAGAACTCCGAAGACGAACTCCAACACAGCGATTCAGAAGCTGAAAGTGCAGATGGAGAATCAGGCGAAGCGGAAAACACGGACAGCCATGATGGTAACGAAGCGGAGAGGGAAGAGGATGAAGAAAATGACGCCGTCGGTGGCTGGGCAGACGCCATGGCAAAGATCCTCGGGAAGAAAACCTCAGAGAACAAGAGTAGCATCCTAGTTAAAAAGAAAGATGCGGCGGAGAAAGCAGAGCATCTGGAGAAGAAGAAACAAATAGACAAGAAGCGAATGTGGGAGATGATGTTTCGGGAAAAGCCTGACATAGTGCGGGACCGTGAGACGGAGAGAGCGCTGCAGAAGACCGCCACCAGAGGGGTGGTCCAGCTTTTCAACGCTGTGAGGAAACATCAGAAAAACACAAATGAAGCTATGAAAGAGGTCGGTGGGTCCGAAAGAAAGAAGGCCAAGATTATATCTTCTATTTCAAAGAAAGACTTCATCGGTGTCCTCAGGAGAACAGAGGAAGGAGACGGAGTTCCAGTCAAGACGGAGAATCTTCCTCCTCCTCCCGCAGAGGAGGAGAAACCCGCCTGGAGTGTCCTTAGGGAGGATTTCATGATGGAAGCCAACATGAAAGATTGGGACAAAAACAGTGACACTGAAGAGGCAAATCGGGAGTGACGTAGCCTCGGTCTGCTCCTTTACAAAAACTTGATGCTCCGAGGGACTGAACCGCAGGAGACGATATTTGTTTTCCTTCGCTTGCATAGATGTTCATAGATCATATTTTTGAGATGCTCCACTTCAACTTAAATTTGTAGTATCAGATATCTTAGTTTTTCTAAACGCTGCTGCTGAAAAGATTTTTCCGATGGAAAGAAGCATATACTTTCAAAGTGTGTTCAGATTCTATTTCCAGTTCTTTAAGAAAAATAAATTACACAAAATTGAAAAAAAAAAACTGATTTTTTTTTATAATACTGACACCTGCTGGACGTTTAAAGACACTACAGGCAGTTTATTTTACAGATTAAACTGAATTGATTCGATAAACAAGTACAATGATATAATTTAAGTTATTGTAGGTTATAGTGTATTATTATCTGTTTAAATAGAAATTATCTTTATTTTTAGATGCAGCTAATAAATGTGAAAATATATCAGAATGTAAAAAATTTGAGGAAAATGTGAATGAGGATGCATGTGGACTAGGATCTTAAACACATCTTAAAATACCGTAAAAACTAAAAAAAAAAAAAGAATTTAGTGATAACTGAGAGGAAAAGTTTGGCACAATGAGACAATAAAAAAAAAAAAAAAAGCTGAAACGTTGGCCTCTGTTTTTAAAATTTTCCAACATATTTCTGATCAATTATATGTAGAAGGATTTTTGTTTTTGCTGGTGTTAATTTTTATTTATATTTATACAGAAAATTGTTTATCAGATGATCCTTCCAGAATCAATTGTCTTTTTTTTCACTGAAAAGTTAAAGTTTTTCAAATCTTTGGGGTGAAGAACCACAATGGTCCTGAACACATTGATCAAATGAACTGAAGCAATGTTTCAGAGATGATCAGATCAAACCACATTGTGAGATGATAAATTCAGACAGAAGTCCATTTAAAAATGTCCTTTATTTTTCATGGGTGTTGGTCTTTCCATGCTATCTGCATAATTCTTTTATTAATTATAACAGCTTAAAATGTTTTTAAAATACTTGAGGATATCTTAGAATTCCATGCCACATTTGTTTCTCATATTGCTTGTTAAATATATATATATATATTAGGTTTGTCACGGTACTAAACTTTTCAACTCGATACCGATACTAAGGAAAATATTCGATACCATTTTCGATACCACAAGGATAAAAACAGACTCCAAAAGTCTACAGAAATATTTTCATTAATAAATAAAATATAATAAATAAACACAATAAAGGTTGTATGCTGTGCATAATATTAAGCAAGCTTGATAAAAAATAAAATTCAAATTAAGTGTTCCTTCCTTGGCTATGCTTTGCACACATAACAATGACACTAGCCAAACCAGTTAAGAAACAAAAATAATTCTCAGCAGCTGCACTTCTTACAAAAAAAAAAGTCTGAAACTGAAAAGAGCACAGAATTATTCAATCACACAGTGTTCTGAAAGTGCATTGTCCTCTATTCTGCACTTAAGATGAATGACTGCTTAGGTGCCACTGGTGACGGCACTGTATCGATACTTTTAAAAACGAGTATTGTATCCGGATACAACATTTCAGTATCGATACTTTTTTGAGTTTCGATACTTTTGACAACCCTAATATATATATATATATATTTTTTTTACTGAATTCTTTGTGAAAAGTATATAGATTACATAAGTGAATAAAACTGAAAATCTTAACACAACAAACCCCTGAATTTTAAGAAACTATCTTATTTTTGCTGTAATATATGAAGTAAAAAATTGAAAGGCCAAGATAGTAGTTTCCTTTATTACTTATGCTTAAGCGATAAAATAAATTCTATATTTTAGCAAGCTTCAGAAGAAATTATTTAGTAATAGTGAACTAGATATGAGTGAGAAATGTAGCATTAAGAACTCAGCTGATGCACTTTTTTCTTTTTTAAGTACAACTTTTATTTTTCGTTTAAACCCTTAGTCAGCCCATGAAATTACATTAACATCTGAGAAGAATAAAGCCACAAACAGCGCAGTTTAGAGCGAGCAAATATGTTTGTGAAACAAAGCAACATCTAAAACTGTCTTTAGCATATCCAACTAAATCTATTAATACATATCATTCCATCTTATAACGTGAGGGATGTTTGTTTCAGAACTGTGCCATGTACATTTGTAAATAATATTCCTAACAGGTTGAAAAAAATCAGTAATTGTTTAAGTTGACAAAATTTTTTAAAATGTTCTAATTGGACCTCCTGAGATTCTTTTCATTTCCATCTGACCGAGCACATGGTTCCAGGTAAAGTCTCAGCTGTTTTTATCAAACTCCACTTCTTGGAGGTTACTGTAGTCCAGTGGTTCTCAAACTTTTTCTGTCATTCCCCACTTTGGACAAGGGGGAATTTTCAAGCCCCGCCTGTCCCCATCGCCCCAACACAATGCTAATGAAATATGCAACAATCTTAAAATGTTCCAATTTTACTGAAGTAACAAGTAGTATCTAAATACAAACTATCTACATCAAATAACAGCAAGCTAAAAAATAAAGAAAATAAAAATGCAGCTGTGTCAAAATTTGTATCAAGCTCAAAGATAGAAAAAATTAAAGTACCACTCTGCAATCTGTTAATAAAAGAAAAGAAGTGAAATCCATCTGGCAAGACAGGTCTATTTATCCCTGCATTAGTGGCTGCAATGAGCCTGTTTTGCATTGCACAGTTTCTCAAAACGGGGTTGCAGGCTTGATACTGCCACTCTCAAGTCATGCTCAATGTTCAGCTGAGATCTGTATTTTGTTTTCATTGAAGCAACAGCTGAAAAGCCCATCTCACAGAGATATGATGTGGCAAAGGGAAGAAGAATGCACACAGCTCTCTGCCCGATGAGTGGATACTCCCTCTCCACTCCTAACCAGAATTCACTATTAGTCTGAGCATTAAACCTGAGCTTCAGGGTGGAGTCAGACGTCATTTCAATAAACTGGTCCTCCTCAGCAGACCTAAAATCAGCAGGTGCTGCAGACAGAATAGGAAAAAATAGACTTACTTTATTTTTCATTGCATAATAAACTAATAAAATATTTCAAATTCAGTTATTTATGATCAACCTGCGCCGTCAATCCCGGCGCATGTGCGCTTTATTTGCAGTCTGGACGCTAAAGTTAAACATGCTGTGTCTCTGCTCTGACTGCAGCGCTGAGAGCGACTCCTGCGATAGCGGGGGAGAATGGGGTTGGGACGGAGGAGGCGCCCCACGGCAGCACCTGCCGCTGGAGGACAAGAAAAGGAACGATACGTGCTTTCACGTAAGAGTCTCCAAAAGTCGCTAGATTTGTCGCTAGTCGCTTTTTTGAAAAAGAGTCGCTGGAGGGGTCTGAAATATAGCGACAAAGTCGCTGAGTTGGCAACACTGGGGCGCGAAAGTTTATTCCGTTACAAATAATATGCCGACGTCACGTCAATCATTATTTTGGCACTTCAGTTCCAGGTGAAATGTTTCTCATATCTAATGTTCTTTTAATTAGACTGCATGTAGGCTAGTAATGATTACTTTGTGGGTTTGATTGGTCTAAAAAGCGGCAACATACAGCTATAAGGACAGTTTGCTCTCACACGTTCTACATTTATAGTCACACACACACACACACACACACACCGGAACTTGGCGCGCCCCACCTGTCACGTCTCAATTCCCCACCAGTGGGTCGCGCCACACACTTTGAGAACCGCGGCTGTAGTCAGACAGAAGAGGCAGCTCATGCAACAGCAGCTTTGGAGACCCCCATGGCCCCTAGATGGCGCTCTGATTTAACATTGCGCTTGAATCTCTAACCTTTTTCACCATCCTGCTTTAGAGATTTCTGCCAATATGAACTTTGGGCTTCATTCATCCTTTTTTGTTATTGTGCCAATTTTAAAATCTGCTTCATTTGTGTTGAACTCAAGATCTAAGAGTGTGGTTTGTAGGTAGTTTAATCAATCATTGTGTTTTCTGCAAATAGAGAATACAATTATTGAAGTCTGGCCTTCAACGTGCTAGTGACAGGCCTTTTGAAAAAAATAGAGATTAATGTGAGATTATGTTTACCCTTGTTTAATGGTGGGAATATGCTTGAGATATTGATGAACTCAGCACGGAGCCTCACCAAGGTCATACGTGCAAAATATGCTCCTGTTTTCTATTTAATGGAGGCCAAGATGTGAAACAATTTAGTCATATAACCCTGCTAAGTTAAACTCAATGCCACCTTTGGAATCTCAATTCTGGTTTATTTCCTACATAAATTGGACATCACTAAGATTTATGGCTGTCGGCACAGATTAAACAGGGGCCTGTCTTTGAAGTTTTAAGAGGTCAATGACATTGATAAGGACGCATAGTTTCTAGATTTGGAAAACTGCAAACAAAACCTGAAAATCAGATTGGCTTTCTGCAGCTGCATGAGACATTCAGATGTCTCCTTATACAGGTAAAAGCCAGTAAATTAGAATATTTTGAAAAACTTGATTTATTTCAGTAATTGCATTCAAAAGGTGTAAATTGTACATTATATTTATTCATTGCACACAGACTGATGCATTCAAATGTTTATTTCATTTAATTTTGATGATTTGAAGTGGCAACAAATGAAAATCCAAAATTCTGTGTGTCGGCGCCAAGTCCTGTTGGAACCTGAAATCTCCAGCTCCATAGAGCAGGTCAGCACCAGGAAGCATGAAGTGCTGTAAAACTTGCTGGTAGACGGCTGCGTTGACCCTGGATCTCAGGAAACAGAGTGGACCGACACCAGCAGATGACATGGCATCCCAAACCATCACTGATGGTGGAAACTTTACACTAGACTTCAGGCAACGTGGATCCTGTGCCTCTCCTGTCTTCCTCCAGACTCTGGGACCTCGATTTCCAAAGGAAATGCAAAATTTGCTTTCGTCAGAAAACATGACTTTGGACCACTCAGCAGCAGTCCAGCTCTTTTTTTCCTTAGCCCAGGTGAGACGCTTTTCGCGCTGTTTCTTGGTCAACAGTGGCTTGACACGAGGTATGCGGGAGTTGAAACCCATGTCTTTCAAGCGTCTCTTGGTGGTGGATCTTGAAGCACTGACTCCAGCAGCTGTCCACTCCTTGTGAATCTCCCCCACATTTTTGAATGTTTTTTTTTCACAATCTTGACTAGGGCGCGGTGATCCCTATCGCTTGTACACCTTTTCTGACCACAGTTTTTCCTTCCCTTTGCCTCTCTATTAATGTGTTCGGACACAGAGCTCTGAGAACAGCCAGCCTCTTCAGCAATAACCTTTTGTGTCTTTCCCCCCTTGTGCAATGTGTCGATGGTCGCCTTTTGGACAGCTGTCAAATCTGAAGTCTTCCTCATTGTGTAGGCTTCAGAACTGAGAGACCATTTAAAGCCCTTTGCAGGTGTTTTGAGTTAATCAGCTGATTAGTTTGTGGCACCAGGTGTCTTCAAAATTTAACCCTTACACAATATTCTAATTTTGTGACACACGGAATTTTGGATTTTCCTTTGTTGCCACTTCAAATCATCAAAATTAATTGAAATAAACATTTGAATGCATCAGTCTGTGTGCA